CCTCTAACAGAAAGGAGTACCAGGAATCTTCCTGGTGGGTAAATGGCGGCCGGCGCGTAAGGCTGACAACCTTACCATCTGTGAACCGATTGTCTAGAGAAAATGTGGGAACCTCGACGTCTCACAACCCTATGGGCCTCCACGGCCTGTTACAGGGATACCTTTACCTTTATCCCAACTGCGCCCAAATCCGCATGTGCCGAATAACATTTATATGTTTCAGACTGAGTAACAACAGAATGTGTTTCACTCCCAGTCATTATTTCGATATCCGAAAGAAGAGTTCAATGAATGCATAAGACCTGCACGTCCTCCGTTTCTCTACATAATCACCAGAACTACTGACAAATTTGTCTCAGCGAGACACCAAATGTTCCATTCCCAGAGCTCAGAGTTCGCACGGACAGACAGCGCTGAAGCAGTAATGAAGGTTAGGTGAGATAGTGTCTTACCCAGCATTCAAGGAGCAATTTACACGACTGTAATGTTACGATAACACGATAGAATACATGAGCTTACTTTAAATTTCCTCCAACTGACACCATGTGCATTTAATTCTTTCGCTTTCTAGAATGTCGGTTTCAAAATAGGATGCATTGTTGAGTACAACGTACAATTTATTGTAAAACTTGTTATAAATGAACAAAACAACACCGATAAAGCATGATCTGGCCGTTTTTATCAATGAGCATAAATTATCATACGAAAAAGCAGAGGGAGCTCGGCGTGTAATATCGAGAACCTCCACTACAGGGCTACCTATGGACACGCATCGGCTTTTGCCACATTACACAATCAGCGATAGCACGATATATTGCAAGGGGTGTATGACATAAAATTTGTGTCAGTCTTACGTTTCAGATGATTAAAGATCGCCCTAAGAATTTTGAGTCTCTATGTCGAGACACAGATGACGCCACATTTAAAACTACTCCTAATTTAAATTTGTGGTATTAGTACTTGGCACATTTCCTTCGGTCTTCAATTTTAATTTGTTTTAAAAAATCCAGGGGAGGGGGGATTTCTGCACCCCCCCCCTTCCTTTGAAGAGTTGTAACAGAGATCGCAGTTCCCTTAACACGCAATTCTAACCGAGCTGTTCGCTGGAACGTATCTCTGTGCTTAAAGCACACAGTATACCGGTGACAACGCATTAGCGATGTCACCAACATAACAGAGTATTAATAATGTAGCCGACCGCCGACGTACAGTTGCCACGACTGTCGCTCGAGCTTGAGTTCTTTCTCTCAGGGATACGGGTGCTTTGGAGATGGGAATGGAACACACTTCGGGGTAAATAAATCCGGGATCTCCAGAACACGCCGTGGATGGCAGATTTAATTTAAAATTTCATTAATGATGAATATGTACATTATTCTCCTAGCTAGCCGCTCCGTCCGCCGACTAGCTACCACTACTCTTAAACACTTCTCTCTTCTCTCTCTACATTCCAACTACTGTCCTCCTCCGCCCCCTGTAGCCGACCCCCCTCTTTATAAGTCCCCAGTTGGCATCAGAAAAACAAGAAAAATAACAAGAGAAATCCAAGGGTCGAGCCCGACATCTGGCCTACATTCGTATTTTTCGAGATGCCCATAAACCTCTGTAGGTCTTCAAGGAATCCAAGACCCCTCCTGGCCGGTCTCGCACACGGTCAGTTCATGGGTTTATGATATACTGGGAGTAAACAGGCGGCGTTAGGGACAATAGCGGCACCCTTAGCCTAAGGAGGACAATAGCGGAATTACAACTTGACGGTCCCGGGATGGTATCTCGCCGATGGAGCGTCTCTCATGGTATTAAACAATGCCTAAGTAGTTCATACCCTTAATTATATAATTTTGACGAGGGAAGTACGGTTACAATAATAATAATAATCAGAAAACAATAATGTGTGGCATTTTGTAGATTACAGAAGGCAGGCGTAGCAAAACAACGGGTTAACAAACAGAAAAACAAGCTGCAGAAACGAACCTTTTAGAATACCACATAACTTTAAACAAGTGGGTGACGCCCTTTACGAGGTGGAATAGAATTTTACGAAACATTTTAATGGATTTTAATAAATTATTTACGGTATTTTTAAGTGGACTGCAACGCGCAGTTTAGCGCAAAACAGAGCAGTGTTAACAGTTGCACACATTAAGACACCTGGAGATGGCCATCTATGGCCGAAATATCTTGTGTCAAATGTTAAATGGTGAACAAACAATTGTTGCATTGACGGACTGTGGATACATAGACGAGTAATTTAAGATTTGTAACAGGATGCTGGAATACTGAGTTGCTGTTACTGAACGACGTTTTAAAACTGTTTTTACTAGCAGTTAACATACTGATTATTTCTTACATACAGATTTTCACTACCCAAAAATTACTGTGATGAGAAACTTGAACAGTTGCGGCACCTGACAGTGTATGTTGTGCCAGTGTAAGTTGAGAAATAAATTTTTTATTAACTTTTGAAACCGCAGCATTCTTTTGTGTATACCCTGTATTGTTTGGTTTTAAATTAAGAACCATAAAACTTATGGGAGCACACTTCAAATATTGACTCTATATATCTGACATCACATGCACTTGAGAGCAACTTACTGCCCCATCTTCATGACTGAAGAATAAGACAAGCAAGTGCCAAGCAGAGCCACTCTGCTGAAAATCTGTAATACCTTCATAGTCAATGAGGCCATACAAACAACTGAGTTTAAACACGAGAGTTTTGAGATTATCATAGTAGTGACTATCAAGATTATTATTTCTGGGATGTGACACCACTACCACAGTAGACAGTTACCAGGCTAAAGATGCAGACAAGAGTTTCCTCCAAAACATTGGTGGTAACATGAACCAGACTCCATGACATCACATCTTAGAAGTTCAGTCACCTTTACATTAAGCTCTAATTCTNATTCAACAGACAAAACTCCACTGGATCTGAGGTACTCACAACAGTGACTACAAGGAATGCTACTGTCTTCTGGGACATGAAGCTGAACAGTGCAGTAGAAGTTCACATGCACTTGAGAGCAACTTACTGCCCCATCTTCATGACTGAAGAATAAGACAAGCAAGTGCCAAGCAGAGCCACTCTGCTGAAAATCTGTAATACCTTCATAGTCAATGAGGCCATACAAACAACTGAGTTTAAACACGAGAGTTTTGAGATTATCATAGTAGTGACTATCAAGATTATTATTTCTGGGATGTGACACCACTACCACAGTAGACAGTTACCAGGCTAAAGATGCAGACAAGAGTTTCCTCCAAAACATTGGTGGTAACATGAACCAGACTCCATGACATCACATCTTAGAAGTTCAGTCACCTTTACATTAAGCTCTAATTCTGTAAGCTGAGCCTGGCTTTAGATTTCAAGCCATAACATGAAGAAAAGTGTGTCATAAGTCTTCTCCTTCTTCTGTGCATTAGACATTAACGCCTGCTGCTCCAACAATGACCTTCCATTTCTTCCTGGTACATTACACATCTCTTTTTCAATAGGTTCATATTCCATAATAAATGTATGTATTTTTCTAACTCCCATCCTTTGTATGTGGTCTATCCATTCCTTCCTATACCCATCTCCATTAAAAGTTATTCTTCCCTTCTACACATTACAGGAGGGTGAGACTTATTTCTTAATTTGTCACTTTTACAGAGCAGACACAAAAAATTAATTTCACAACAGAAAACATTTGAATAAATTCATTTCATAAATTCTCAGTCTTAACTGCACTTAATGGTATTTTTTTATTTTTATCCCAATTTTTTCCTCAAATGATAAATGAATCAATTACTTGAACAAGGGAAATGTTTGCCCATCAGCTGAAAAATGGATATTTAATTTTGCCACTAACCAATTCAACTGCATTTCTCATGCATGCCTCGTGAGAAAATGTTTATGTCGGGAACAGGCGAAACTGAAAAACAAACTTACCTCAGCAGAGAGACATAAGGTAGCCATAGCAGTCATTAGCCCTTTTAAGCCTGAAACTTATCTAAATAAATTCAGTGACTATCTCAGAGAAAACGTGGTGTATCTCCATTACAAGGACAAACCGACAGATGTTTGGGGAAATAATTTGAGAATCATCATATTATGGGCAAAGGGTAAAGTCCTCCCTGTGGATGTATATATCCACATTTCCTTGACATCAGCACTAGCTAGAGGTGAGTGGTCAGCTTCATACCCTGGCCACTTTATACCCAGGGAAAGAGTCCCAGGTACCCACTGGATAGGAGGTTATGCAGACCCCAGAGCTGGTCTGGACGATGTGAAAAAGAGAAAACTCTTGACCCCACCTGGACTTGAACTCCAACCCCTCAGTCATTCAGCCCATAGCTAGTTGCTATACCGACTAAGCTATCCCAGCTCCTGGGTACTGCAATTTTTAATGTTAAAGTTCCCAGTACATGCAGTTACCACTGTAATTTAAAGGGCTGACATTCCTGCACCATCTTATACAACTGTCACTGCTACTGTCAGCCATTTCAAGAATACAGGTGACATGTTTCTTCTGACTTTCTTAGTTTATTCAACAAAGCATAGTGAATTCACAAACTGTAGTGCCAAATGGTAGGATGGTGATTAACTGGAAAGTATGTGGACATAGGTCGGTATATGTATAAAGGGCTGAAGAAAATTATGAAAAATATCTGAACCCAGGACTCCAAACATAGAAGTGCTAATCACCTCACTGTGATGTTCACCAAGAGAACATGCAGACTGAGCAAGGTTCACAGTAACGAGAAACCTGGACACAGACAAGACGAACATCTCCAGGCTTACACAGTTTTGACTTGTGCAAATTCTGAAGAAACATAATCCCATATAAATATTTTATTTTTTTGCGAAGACTAAGTAAGTAATTAAATTTTGTCTCTGAAACAATAAAAATACGATTTTTAGATAGCAAAACTGAATGTATTGACTTTAACTGAATTACACATTTTCCAGTAAAAACTAAAGGAAGTGAAACAAGCTGTAACAAAAATTTCAAGTTATGTGATTCTGAGTTACAAACCACTACTGAGAATGCAATTATGGTGTAAGTCAGGAAATACCTGTACAATACTTGGTCACAAACCGATAACGACTGGAGTTCAGGTATACAATTTCACAAACCTCCTCAACCAATTCACATTATAATCTATACTAAAACCATGTGCATTTTGAACTAATGTCGCTAGGTACCCATATAAGGTAGTTTCCTCTTGGAATGCAACATACTTTTGGCCAAAAACACATAGCTGAAGAGGATGATGAAGGGGAGGGGGAAGATATGATGATGATGAGGAAGAGTAGGAGGGGAAAACAAGGATATGAAGAAATGTTACTGTGAAGAGTTCTACTTTGTGAGAAATAATGTGTAGTCCAGTGAAAGTCAACCGACATTTCCGAGGAGAATGTCGCCTTCTTTTTTGGGTCGAAAAATAGGTGAAACAAGATACCAGCATGAAGCAAGTGGCAAGCAGAGCCCTATTAGGTCTGCTGTCAGCTCTGCTTGTCACTTGCTTCACACCAAAAATGGAGGTGACATTCTCCTCCAAAACATCAGCTGACTTTGTTTCAACAGACTGCAGGGTGTTATATCCCAGATGAGAGAACTCTTCATAACCACCACTGTGAGTATAATTGCACATGTTCCTTTGAGTACTTTCTTAATGATGGTGATGACTGACTGATGACTAATGGTCCGGCAGGGAGAAGTGATGGTTTTCAGAAAACTAGTACACTTATTTTTTGACAACTAGCAAATTTTAATGTTTTTAAAAAGTACATGTATAATGCCATTTAAGATGCTGTAACAAAAAATAAGAAAATTTTAATTCATTTTCGGAAAATATCATGCAAATGGCGGCTGTTATTGTTCAAGCATTGTTGCAGATGAGCGGAAAAGTTGTTCATAGTTCTCTGAAGCATAGCAAGTGGAATTGCTCGAATTTCTTCGGTGATGGCGTCTGAAAGGGCCCCAGGAGTGGGTGGTTTGTCGATGTAAACCTTAGCTTCCCGGTAGCCCCATAAAAAGTAATGGCATGCCAAAAGATCTGGGGATTGAGAGGCCCACTCCACATCCCCACGCTTTGAAATGAGGTGCCCAGGAAAATGTTCTCTCAACAAGGCCACTGATTCTCTTGAGGTATGGCAAGTAGCCCCATCTTGCTGAAACCAAACTGTAGTGAGGTCGATGCGACATCTTCACAATTCAGGCAGTAAGAACTTGCACAACACTGTCACGTAACATTGTGACTTTACTGTTACGGTGTGTCCGCCTTCCATGAAAAAGTAAGGCCCAATTATGCCGAATCGGGAAATTCTGCACCACACAGTGGCTAGATTGCAATATAGGAGTCTTTGATGGAATACTTGGGGATTGTTTGCCAACCAGTACCAGAAATTTTGTTTACTGATGTGTCCTGTCAAGTGAAAATGCCCTCATCACTCATGATGAGAACAGTGTCACCCCTCAGCACTTCCAGCATTCTTTCAGCAAATGTAAACCTCTGTATGAAATCGTTCTGCTGCAGTTCTTGAACCACCTTGATTTTGTGCGGGTGATGGTGAAGGTCAGAGTGTAAAATTCGGCGAACTGACCTCTCTGACATCCGTAGAGCATGAGCGTATCATACCGCTGACCGACAGGGACAGGTCTCCACACCTTGTCAAACTCATTCAATGTGTTCCAGAGTCCTGACGGTTCGATCGCCTCCCCGAGCTGTACCCAGTCTCACAGATCCAGCTGTCCTGAAGTTCTTCACCCACTTCAATATTGTGTTTCGAGACAGAACGGTGCCATGTCGACCAACATTGAAGCGAGTACAAAATCAAGGCTGTGTAAGCACTACCGAACTACCCGTTTGAATAAACGTCTCAAAAACAAAGGCACAATGTTCAATCATCCATGGTTCCATGGTTACTGAAATGGCGTCTAACAGCGAGTAACTGCCAACCATTGCACATGCGCTAGAAGCCCTACTCCCACTTTTATACCCATCACAAATACCTCACACCTCCCTGCCGGACCCTGTATATGCATTACAACTGTCTCTTAGAAGCTAACAGTCACTTAGCTAGTCAAGAAATTCCTTGCCATTTTTGGAACCTGAAATTTCATTACTATGTTCACAACAGCCCATCACCAGTCTCTATCCTGCACCAGATAAATAGGTCCACACCTATTTCTGTAACCCCTCAATGCCGAGGGGCATCTAAATCCTATTTGCTTCTCAGGGCAGAGAACACTAAAATTATAGGAATTTTACTGCTACACTAGGCATGTTATGTACACTAATCAGAGAGAAACATGTGACAATTGGCTGGTGTATTATGTCCATCTAATGGCTCTGACGAGTTAAGATCCATTTTTAAGTTCTCTACCCATCTATGTCTTGATTACCAAAGTGGTCTCTTTCTTCATGTTTTCCAAAGTAAACCTCTGTTCACAATTCTCATCTTCATAATGTGTGCTACTTTCCTCACCCATCTCACTTTCTTGATTTTATCATCCCAATATTATTTAGAGGGTACAAACAAATTATGAAGACCCCCATTATACAGTTTTCTCAAGCATTGCATTAGCTCCACTTCTGAATGTATTTCTGGACTACTCCCTTATAATCATTACAGTCCAGGCCACCATAACATCCTTGACTTCATTACCTTCATATGCAGCTAAAAAAAATATTAATAGGAATGAGGTCAAAGTGCCTACTGGTAAATAATTTGGAGCAGTCTGAATGCAAGATATTTTAATGAAATGAATGAAGGCATGTAACAATATGAAATAATGCTGGTGACATTCCACTAATATACAGTAGCACAATGTTTCCACAGTCACTACAGTTCTAAACTGTTCAGTCACAAAACGAAAAATCTGCATACATAACTTTGTACATTGTCGCATCTGTTAGCCTCCTGTTTTGTCCTGGATCATTTGTTCAGCTTTGTACACTTTCCAACATACTAAATAATCCCGAAAGAGCTTGAATAAAGTGCAGTAGTTTGCAAAAAGTAGAAATATAAGTGATAAAATATGATACCACTCTGATGATTGGACTAGAATGACAATTTCTATTATGACAAGAGAAACTTGCAGGCCCAAAAGAGAGCACAGAAGAACTGATGGATTGTTGAACACTGCCTGAAATGTTAAAATTACACAAAAATGATCATAACTTCACATAATATACAAAGCAACTATGAAAATAATACAATACTGTGGTAGTTGAAGGTGATCAATTTATCACTGACTGCCTGTTGATTTTTTTATTAATTTTTTTGTCTCCAGCCACACTGCCAAAAATATTGATGGTATGAAGCATAAATATGTATGTCCAATTATACACAGCTTGTGGTAAACACAAATATAATGTTCTGGAATGACATACAATATTATGGGTGGGTTACCCCATGCACTGTGACCATTTATTGATCTATCGTGCGTCCCCCTTTTTAATTATTCTAACTAGTCATCATGCCCTTCCAGTACTGGTGCTTGGAGGAGTTGAAAACTACTTGGGCAGGAAACTGCCTAATTTTTCTCAGAGGTTTCCTAGAGACATGAGGATCTTTTACGTGCCGTAAATCTACGACACAGGACACACAGCTTAAAGTCCCTCCTGGAGGACTTGTTCCCTGAATTTTTCTGCGACCTCTGCCGGGTTTGAACCTGCATACCTTGAGTCATGAGGTGGGAACATTACCCCTAGACTATGGAGGCCGCTATCATAGAGACTAAGAAATGTTGCTGTATCCACAAGCCATAGCAAAGCCATAAAACTTTCATGCAACCAGCAGATATATGGCAGGCAAGGCAAAGGGTCTACAGGAGACACAGGTGACTGACATGGCAGTCAACATATTAATCCCAAAGTAGTATACAATTCATTTTTATTAACATACTTGCAGTTGTGGGGCAGTTTCCTATTCTGTGGCTCTCATTCTAACCAGGGGGAGTAGGATCTGAATGTGTGTCAGACTACTTCCGAAATACTGTAATCAGCAGCATCGTATTTATTGCACTTCTCCCTCAAAACTGGGACTTTTAAAATCAGGTGTGGCTTATGAGCAGTTCTAGAAGAAAAGAAGTACCACTAGATTGTCTAGATCTGGTAGCGTACCAAGAGAGGATGCTTTAGCTCTGATTAACATGAGCTCAATTCAAATCAGTGTTACTAACTAGTGGAGTCCTAACAAAAATGTATCACACCTCATTTTTACAGCCTCCTGTCAATCCAAAAGATTAAATTCACATATTTTAAGTAATGTCTGTAACTACATGCAGGAGTGTGAAACTTTCCTCCTCTTTAACTCTTCCGATTGGTGTGCATAGTTTTTCCCTTGTTTAAAAACTATGTAATTTTGAAGTGGGGTTTATATTCAAACAAATATGCTAATTTATTTCTTGGTAGATATCAGTAGCTAATGGTTGTCACAAGGCTGATGTGTGTTACCATTAGAACAAAAGATAAAACTGTCAGAAGATTAAACAGGAAAGAGTAAAATGAAATTTTACAACAGACGAAAGTTCCTTCACATTTCTAAGCATAATGATAGTTATGGTGAATCCAGCATGAATAGTTGTGTTATCTCATTGGTTCTGTACCTGTTCTCTCTCACTGGACAGTGATGTACAGTGCAACCACAACAGAAGTAAAGCTTAAAGAACCCAATTATGGGGAGAAAAATCAATGCGTCCAAGTTCTTAATGCTATGTTACATAAGGCATGTGCAAGAATGACATTTTAAATTCAAGACAAGTATTTGGAAACACTTTGAGAATCAAGACGAAAACAAGAACTTTCTCCACTAGACCAATTTCACCACTGTAATCACAAATCATAACAATGCCACTTTTCACAATACACCAAAGTGTAATACTTATTCCTTATGACATCAAACCCTGTTTTAAAGATAAACTTTCATAAATCATTCGATGTCTTAAAACAGTTCATTTATATGCCTATGTCATTTTTTACTGTAGGCAGGCAGACAGTGTGAGGGAGAGAGACAGTTTGTTGACAAGCTGACTAACATCCATTACAATTCTGACTGATCACGTACTTTGTGTGCTAGTGGGCAAAGTAAAATGAGTAAAATTATAGTAGTTGAAGGCTGAAAAATCAGTGTCTCAATTAAGATTTCTCTGTTTGATTTTAAAAAACATAACAGTCATATCTGCCCAATATGTAAGGAAAAATCTCACATAAAACAAGACTTCTGGTAGTTTCATTGCAGCATGCAAGTCCTAACTAGCAGTCTGACATTTAGAACAAGGAACAGATTTATGGGAACATGAGCTCTGTCTGCCCACGAGTTAACGTCAGACAGGCCATACAACAGCAGGAATCTCTACAAACAGTGCTCCACAAGATATCACTCCATGAAACATACATCACACATATTACACGTTAAGCACTGAAAATCTGAACCTAATCTGCCAGTTACCGCACATGTTAAGCGGCCTCCGTAGTCTAGGGGTAACGTTCCCACCTCATGACTCAAGGTACGTGGGTTCAAACCCGGCAGAGGTCGTGGAATTTTTAAGGTCGGAAAAATTCAGGGAACAAGTCCTCCGGGAGGGACTTTAAGCCGTGTGTCCCGTGTCATAGAGTTACGGTACGTAAAGGATCCTCATGTCTCTAGGAGACCTCTGAGCAAAATTAGGCAAAGTTTCCCACCCAAGTAGTTTCTAATTCCTCCGGTAGATGGGGAACTATCGGGGACCACTGCCAGAGAGGTGGCTGACCTCGCTGGCAGAATGGGGCTGATAGCAAGCACCAGTACTGGAAGGGCATGGCGACTGGTAGAATAATTACAGGGGGACGCACAATAGATCAACAACTGGCCGTAGTGCATGGGGAAACCCACCCACCTCCAAAATAATAATAATAATAATAATAATAATAATAATAATACAGCACATGTTACAAGATTTAAAGAATATGCTTTGCTACGTGTACTGCCACATGATGAATGCAGTGAATTTGTTGATATAATGGTACTGCTTTGCATGCCCAGAAATACATAACAAAAACAAGCCTCTTCAGGGGATTAAAATACTCCAGCAGAGTAACAACAAAACCAAAGACATGTGAAATACCACATACAAGCTTCCAATTATTGGTGAGTTTGCTTATAACTACAGAGTTTTCACACAAAGCCCATACAGGGTGGCTTCAGCATAATGCCTTCCTCTCACATTTCTCTCAACATCCATCATCTATAAATAAACATACTTCTTACTCAACAGTACATAACCTCAGCATAGAAGCCTCCGTACTCTAGAGGTAACGTTCCCACCTCATGACTCGTAGTACGCGGGTTCAAATACCTGGCGGAGGTCGTCGAATTTTTAAGGGCGGAAAAATTCAGGGAACAAGTCCTCCGGGAGGGACTTTAAGCCATGGGTCCCATGTCGTAGCTTTACGACATGTAAGAGAACCTCATATCTCCAAAGGAGGTCACTGAGCCAAATTACGGACGTTTCCCGCCCAACAGCAGTCTCTAATACCTCCGGTAGATGGGGGAATCATTATAGGAGCCGGTCTCGCTGGCTGGGCAGGACTGATGGTAAGCACCAGTACCAGTAGGATATAGAGACTGGTATTAATCATAGAGGGAAGCACAATGGACCAATACAGGTCTAAGTGCACGGGGAAACCCACCCTCTCCAATAACTAACTAACTAACCTCAGCATTTGAAACATCATAAAACTGATTGTAACTAACCTCAATTTGGATTTTCTCTTTATGTGATTCAACAACAAACATGTGTAGTTGCCCCAGGGCAATCCTGAGTAAACTATGGCATTGTAATGGTTCATGAATTCTACTTTGCCATTAATTTCAGCCAATCACGTCATTTTCATATGTCTACATATTTCAAGCATTTTCTGCACTGCTAAAATTAGCAGAGTTTTGACTCATATCTAACAAACTTATGGCTGGAAGTTTAAGTTTGTGAGCGCATCTCAACAACTGTACTTGTTTGTATGAAATTATGAATGTATTAGTGACCTCGACAGATTCTTGCTGACAAGTCAGGAAATATATGAAGAAAGTCAGCTATGAAATGTCTTAGGAACAGGTTGTTTCCTTACTCGGTCATCCAGTCCATAACAGTGAGAAACCTACAGGTTGGTCTGGAGATAACATTCTCAATTGCATACTGGAGGTTCTTGGTTTCAAAGTCAGCTAGGCCACACGCTACACCAACTGTGATTTTATGTGGTTTTCCCCAGTCTCAATACTGAAAGCATTATTAAATCACCCACAAAAAAAGAAACACCTTGGAAAGAGAGTTTATGATTAGTTCATGTACTATATTTCAACTGTGTATAAGGTAAACCAAAGGTAAGTCGGACTAGGGTTTTCATAGTTCTTTTCATTTGATATTTATAAGTCCAAACTGATTTACTCTTAGGAACAGCTATTGTGTTCCATCAACTTAGCCCTATCTCCGAAAGCCAAACCTCATTCATGAAAGCTAATGTCACCAAACATGTCCTTCCACCCATACATGCATCCAAACCTCCTGCTAACATTAGCTAAAAATGTAAAAATAAAAACAAATAGTTTATTTCTTGACAAAATATGCACTGTAAAGAATGAATTGGCAATAATGGGAAAATCAGTCCTTGTTAATTTACTTTCAATATACCCCCCTCACCTACACTCATAGAACTACTTCCAAGATATGCTACTGCTACCCCTAGTCCCCTTCTATGTACTTACATAAAATCTGGCATGAGCCTGATTTCCTGGTTCAGCTGCATTTGAAATTCCTTCTGCTTTGTAGAATTCTCTGCAGTGTTTCACAAGTGCCCCCTGGTGCCAAAGCATAGAATCAGCCCACCTAACAAAAGAGGACAGTGCCACGGGATGAAAAATATGGTAGCCTGCTCAACTGTACAGAGCTTTGCAAGCTAGTGTGCATAAATTCACAGTATAGTAGTTGCATGAACAGACTCTGTTTCAGCCTTCTATTATTAAATGGTAAAGCTATCAATGTGCTTAATGAAGCACCAAGCCATGAGACACACAAAGAAGGGGTGATACTGTACATACCATTGCTAACTTGTGGATATGGATGTGATCATTCCATAATGTGCTGCTGTAGGTGTACAACACTACAACTGCCACAACACCAATTTCATACAAACCTCCTCAGTGACTTACACCATACAAGATTAACATTTCCTGGGCCAGACATAGCTCCATGCAGCTCTAAATACGAAGGGGGACCCAAAAATAACCGGAACCGACCTGATGCACGCGCATGCTTTGTAGTTACAAGTTGTGCTGCTAGGTGGTGTTAGCTGGGGGTCTCCCGCGACTGTTAGTGAGCTGGCGTCAGTCTGAGTTAAGTGGTTTGTCTGTGGTGCTCTGTTGCGTGCGTTCCTGTTTCAACCCTTTGGCGATTTGTGAGATGGCTGACCAGAAGGAACAAAGAGTGTGCGTGAAATTTTGCTTTCTGTTAGGGAAAACTGCAGCCGAGACTGTTGGGATGCTTCGGCAAGCCTTTAATGATGATGCTTTGGGGAAATCACAGGTCTATGAGTGGTTTTCCCGTTTCAAATCTGGCAACATGTCAACAGAAGACATGCCACGCCCCGGGCGTCCTTCGACAGGAAGAAATGACGAAAACATTGCCAAAATCAAACGTGCAATTGATGAAGATCGTTGAAAGACCATTGACCAACTTTCTGAGGAAACGAACATCTCATGGAGCACGGTCCAGCGAATTTTAACCGAAGGTTTGCACATGAGACGGGTGTCTGCAAAATTTGTTCCTCGCTTGCTCGGAGATGACCAAAGAGAAAACCACGTGAATGTTTGCCGCGACTTGAAGAGTGAAGTGCAGAACGATCCAGAATTTCTTAAAAGAATTGTGACTGGCGATGAGTCTTGGTGCTACAGGTACGATCCAGAATCAAAGCAATCATCAAGCCAGTGGAAAACTCCAACTTCACCATGACCGAAGAAAGCGCGTCAAGTGCGATCCAATGTGAAAACAATGTTGATTTGTTTTTTTGATGTGAATGGCATTGTCCACAAAAGAGTTCGTTCCGCCAGGACAAACAGTGAACCAACATTTTTACCTGGATGTGTTACGAAGATTACGAGAGTGTGCGACGAAAACGGTCCGAAATGTGGAGAAATGGGAACTGGTTGCTTCACCACGACAATGCTCCAGCCCACACAGCTTTGACGGTCGGACAGTTTTTGACAAGCAACAACATGGTGATTGTGCTTCATCCACCTTACTCACCTGACCTGGCTCCGTCGGACTTTTTTTTGTTTCCACGGATGAAGAGAAGTCTGAAAGGAAAGTGATTCCGTGATGTGGATGAAGTCAAAGAAAACACGCTAAAGGCTTTGAACAGTATCCAGCCTCAAGAATTCCAGCACTGTTTTGAGCAGTGGCAAAAGCATTGGGACAAGTGCATTAATGCACATGGACAATACTCTGAAGGGGACTAATATACAGTTCAATAAAAATGCAAAAATAAAAAATAACAAAAATAATTCCGGTTATTTTTGGGTCCCCCTCGTATAGCACATGAGATTACAAGCCCAACATACATCTCCAGACTCTTGGTACTACAGTGTATACTAATACTACCACAACAAAACACAATATGGAATAATCACATCTGTATCCACAAGTTAACAACAGTATGCATACCTGCGACCCACAGTTCAGTGCTATGAACTCATGGTAGATGCAGCACTCAAGCTTCAAATTTTCATAGCCTGAGAACCCAAATTTTAATTACTATAGTTCATTTAATTTGCACCCTCTACCATTTTACATTGATGCCACCTAATTCCTACCCCTGCAACTTCATACACCCAATCTCTATCCAGTATCTATCTCTCTTACCCCATTATAATTATACTGTGGCATATTTGCTCAAAGCAAGAACTGTTGAGCCAGAGAAACAGCTGTTGCTAGGTAATGCCAGCAAGCAACAACAGAGGAGTTGTCACGATACATGATGTGTATAGCCGTTGCTATGGAGTGACTGGGTAAGCACATATGTGGTGACATCATGCACCAATAGAAGAGGTGTTGCAGGCGGTGTTCTCTGTGGGTCCACCGAGAGGCTATATGATTTGACTGACAAAGTTCAGTTCAGAGAATGAGTGCAGTGCAGTTGAGGGTTCAGTTGTGGAGAGTTAACCAGCAGCCAACAGAAGCTTAAGATTCATTACCACAAAACATGCAGTGAAAACATTGCAGACAAAAGCCACTGTTGAGAGCAGTTACCAAGTAAACACAGGTGAAAGTAGACTGAGAAGATTTAGTGTGGAGTGATATGTAGTGTGGAAATCAGCACTGGTGTTTTATGGTTATTTGCAGTTACAACCTGTAAGTGGTCAATAAATCTATTCACAAATCCAAACCCTGTCTAAAGTCACTAACAGAAGTGGCAATATATTTTAAAGAAACCAGGAAGCATATTTTAGAATGAATTACTCGTAACAACTAAACACTGGCCAATGTGCATATTTGTAGTAAACAATAATGAATGCACCACCTGCCTGAAGATGGGCTTTATGGCTGAAACATGTAGCAATAATAAACAAACATATAACATACTAGGTGGTTCAAATATGACCGGGACTGATTTTTTGTAAACAAGCCGCACTGTGCAGCAGCTGTGCGACCTTGAGAGAGTGAAGCCACAGCCGCCACCCTCCCTCCTGTTAGGGTTAGAACCTGTTCAGTCCTGTCTGGAAGTTGCTAGAGTGATGAGTGAACAGAAGGTACCGCAGAGCATGGAACAACGCATAGTCATCAAATTCCTCGTTGGAGAAAATGTCCCGTCCTCTGAAATTCACCACAGACTCCAACAACAGTATGGGGAAAGTGTCTCTCATGGAACCGCGTGTTTGAGTGGTGTAAGTCCTTCAGAGAGGGCAGAGAGCACGTGGAGAATGAACCGCATGATCGTCGGCCGCAAACATCCATCACCAAGCCAAACACTGATCGTGCAGATGCACTTATTCGTGAGAATAGGCGCATCACTATCAAGGAACTTGGAGCAATGCTGTCCATCACTGTTGGTAGTGTAGAAGACATCATGAAATACCACCTGCACTATCGCAAGGTGAATGCACGGTGGGTACCACGCACTTTGACGGACGTGAACAAAATGGTGCGCATGCAAGTTGCCAGTCAACTCCTACAGCAGTTTGAAGACGAAGCTGATGCATTTTTTAAGTCTATAGTGACCACCGATGAAACGTGGGTGCACTACTTCTTTCCCGAGTCCCAGCAATCATCACGCGAGTGGCGGCATACCAGTTCTCCCAAACCCAAGGGAGCGTGGAGGAGCCATTCGGCAGGAAAAGTGATGGCAACGTTCTTCTGGGACTGGCAGGGGGTTAGCCATATAGACTTTCTGACAGATGCGAGAACAGTCAATGCAGCTTATTACTCAGATCTCCTGGCAACAGACATGAAGGAAAAGATCCGATCCAAGCGGAAGACATGTGGAAAGTGGCTAGCCTTCCTTCAAGACAACGCACGCCCTCATACGGCCAAAACAACAATGGAAACCCTCCGGAAATTGAAATGGAACCTTCTGACACATCCGTCGTACAGTTCTGATTTGGCACCAAGTGATTTCTACCTGTTCGGAAGGCTCAAATCGACTTGCAAGGCATGCGGTTTGTGGACGACGATGCAGTCATCCAGAATGTTCGGGAGTGGATACACCGCCAACCACAAAACGTTTTTGAAAAGGGCATCAGGATGCTTCCAGAACGTTGGAAAAAATGTGTTGACTCCGGAGGGGAGTACATTGAAGGCTGACATGTGCAAGTAAGTGTTTGGCAATTTTGGTATAAAAAAAATCAGTCCAGGTCATATTTGAACCACCTTGTACCATTATACGTGGGGCAATCCAAAAGTTTCCGAAATTTGAATTTTGCGCGCGAATGGTTATGAGTACATCAAAATACTGCTAGGTGTCTCCTCACAAATCCTTTTTGAATCAGTGTGGTAAGCGGCGTTGAGTTGAGTGGTTGGGTTTATTGTTGGTAAACGTATTTCTAGTGTTGTGTTTCCGTGAGTTTGTGGTTTTGCAATGGCTGACATGAGAGAGCAGCGTCTGTATAAAGTTTTGTTTCAAACTTGGGAAAACCGCTGCAGAAACGCACAAAATGTTGAAGCAAGCTTTTCGTGAAAACAGTTTAGGTCAGACACAAACTTACAACTGGTATAAGCGTTTTAAAGATGGCCGAACATTGACTGATGATGACGATCGTTTGGGATGGCCATCAACGGGCAAAACACCAGAAAATGTCATGAAAGTTAGGCATCTGATTCTGCAAGATCACAGATTGACCATCCAAGACCTCTGTAACACCTTGGGACTAAGTTACGGTACACATCAACGAATTTTGTCAGAGGAACTGAACATGAGGAGGATTGCAGCGAAGTTTGTGCCACGACTGCTGCAAAATGAACAGAAGCAGCATCGCTTGGAAGTCTGCAGGGAACTTCAGCTACAGCTTCAAGAGGATCCAAACTTTCTTTCGAATGTTGTCACTGGTGACGAAAGTTGGGTTTATGGCTACAACCCTGAAAGCAAGCAGCAACTGTCGCAATGGAAGAGCCCTTCTTAACCTCGGCCGAAAAAAGCTCGACAAGTCAAGAGCAACATTAAGTCCATGTTGATCTGTTTTTTTTTTATATTGAAGGGATTGTTCATAAGGAGTTCATCCCTCCTGGTCAGACAGTCAATAAAGAGTTCTATCGCGATGTTCTAAGGCGTTTGAGGGAGAACATGAGGAGACAACGTCCACAGAAGTGGCGCACGAACGACTGCATACTCCACTATGACAACGCACGACTGCATAGGGCTTACATTGTGCAGGAATTTTTGGCTAAAAACAAGATGGCAGTTGTTCCCCACCCACTGTACTCGCCAGACTTAGCTCCATGTGATTTCTTTCTCTTCCCCAAGATGAAAATCAAGTTGAAGGGGCGAAGATTTGATACAGTTGAGGAAATTCAAGCGGAAATGCAGACGGTACTAAACACCCTAACAAAGAAAGACTTCCAGGATGCACTTCAAAGTGGCAGAAATGCTGGGATCGGTGTATGCGCTCCCAAAGGGACTACTCTGAAGGTGATGGTGCAGAATAAGATAGGTAAGATGTAATAGTTTTTATTAATATATTTTGGGAACTTTTGGATTGCACCACGTACATCGCAGCTGTGTACACAGAACTTCCATAATTTCTATATATATCCAACACAACATCATGCTCCAATACAATATTCTACATCCTCTGATTTCTTGTATCTCTCGTGTCAGATGAACTATAAAAAATTATTTATCAAAACCTTGTGGTTGAGCTGTTAAGCACTTCTACTTTGTATTTGGGAGTTCCAAGATAAAAAAAAAAACTTGGACTACACACCTGTCTCCGCAGATGATATGAAATAAATACTGAAATACACCATGACTGATGATTTCTGTCTCTTTTCTAACATAACATTCACAAATCACCCTACCTTTGACACTGAAAAATTTTGGATCACAGTACTGTTAAATAAATGAATAGTCAAACAGTGAAATCATAATTACAGATATCTTCAGCCTGAGTATAAATGTAATTAACTTGGGATATGGTCAGTGAACTCCTGTTCTTCTGGGTGCACACTGCTGTAGTCTGAAGGTACACTTGTATTATTTCCTAAGAGTAGTGAAGACTGGAATAATAGAACTGACTCATTGACCTCAGTTTGCTCTCAAGGTACTTCTTTTGTACCCCCAGAAAAGTAAGACCTTCCCCAGCTCAAAGTTCTTGGTTGGACACTGGGTCCAGAAATGTGGGCCACTTCTCATCATTTGCGGTGTATGAATCACTGCAGTTCACGCACTGAGGTCATTGGGACATGATGCCTCACCAGAGACGAGGTTCAATGCACATATTTTTTGGACATGTCTAAATCACTGATAGTTGAAGCAGCACTATGGATGTACACTAATCCTTTCATAACCAACACTGATTGTGCTAGTAAGTGTTAAGGACTTAAAATATCAGGAACACAGTTTACTCCAGTCCCATTTCCTGACAAACCTGTGCACTGTCAAAGACTGAACAGCCAGGGCAGACTGGCCATTCTACCCAGGCAGTTAGTACCCTGGAGGAGCTGAGAGATGAGTGCTTCTTGTCAAGGAATCTCAATTTGGCTTTTGCTCTGCACCTACACAAGAGCATACCATTCTTTAATTGGCATGGAATCTTGCCTCTGTCTCCAATAACATCTACAAGCTTCTGAACATAAAATGGGTTGGCCTGTTGTGAAGTCAGAATTTTAAGTGATAATTCAATAGGTGCAATAGCACCATTTTCTGGACGACATTTTAATGACATGGATTTTGGGTATGAAGGAGCCATTTTCAAGGGGGCAACTCTCTGGAACTGACAGCATCAGCCTGCCAATGGGGAGGTGGGGGGATATAGAAAACGACACTGAAATCTTACAATCTATGTCAGTGCAGGAGCCTCCATCGTGATGTTAGCTCAAAAAATCACTGACAATTTCAAATCTAATGGCAGGTCCTACACTGCTGGTAAGATGTGATTTCAGGCCCTTACCATGGGAATAACCACCCACAGTTCTCAATGCACATATATACAAGTAAGTCTACACGGACTCAGGGAACTTCTGATTGATTAAATCACAGCAGTAACCACACCAGAACATCACAGCTTGACTAGGCCACACAACAGTCAGACTGTCTATGATGCCTGAGCACTGACTGGGCTCCATACCCAGACGTGCATACAAGGTCAGCAAGAAGGAGCCACTCAACCTACATTTTATGAGTTCCCTGTAGGAGTACAGAAGTTAAAAGTCACTCAAATATGAGGCAGTACCAAGGAGATAAGAAAGATCCCTGCTGGTGAGACAGTGTTTATATTTATGGGGTAGGCTAAATGTTAAGAAATGTATAACCCTTGGGGGGAGGGGGAGGAGTGGGATGATGAAGAAGAAGAAGAGACAGGAAATTGCTGCAGTAAACAAGTGTGCAAAACCTTGGTACTGTCATGTACAGGGGTGAACAGAGACAGGGTTTGGATTGGTGACTCAATTTATTGCCCACTTACACACTCATGACTTGTGACTACTCATTACAGTTCACTGACACACACAGACTAGAGTCCTCAGTCTATTACAGCCTCCACTAGCCGTTTTCTGGCAAAGGACTTTAACACAGGAATTACAACAGTCTCGCTGAATTATACATATAATGTCTTCTCTTCACAACCAACTTTCAAGTGAGCACTCTTATAACTAACGCTTTTCTTCACAGTCTCCCATACAGAACTGAACTCTCAAATGACCAGGTGGCCCAAACTGTCTTCTTTATAAATACTTTGCATGGACCGCATAGAAAACACCATTTCCAACAGTAACTCCATTGTTGTGTGAGTATTCCTTGCCATGGGAACGTGTTTAGAGAGTTGTTGCCTAGAAACCGCCATGATGCAGACCACAAAAAACATTGTGCTATTGTTGTGTGCAAGTTATGGTCACTGCCTAGCAACAACCACTGTTTGCAGTCACCATTTAGCAACAGGTCTACACATCACAGTATGAAGATGATAAGGTGAATGCGAGTATGACAATTCAGGTATTCACAGTGCAAAGGTGCCAGTGAGAAAGACAAAAGAGACTGCGACAGAATGGCAAACAAAAAAAAATTACAGCTATCCCTGTAGCAGGCCGTGAAGGCCCATAGGGTTGTGAGACGCTGAGGGTCCCACATTATCTAGACAATTAGCTCAAAGATGGCAGTAAGGTTGTCAGCCTTATGCGCCAGCCACGCTTTACTCCCCAGGAAAATTATTTAATTAATTCCTGGTACTCATTTCTGTTAGAGGCTGAGTCGACCCCAGGGCCATAGTGCGGCTGGAAGGATTATGTCAATTGAAAAAAATCCACTGACTTAATCGGGGCTTGAACCCACGACTTTCCGGCTTCTAGCATAGTGCCTCAACCAGCTACACTACTGCGTGCCCCATTGAGTAAACATATTCATCATAATATAACCCTAAATGTGGACCTAGTCCACTAAAACACAGCTAGCAGAAGAACTCAGATGAAATCAAATACACTCACCACAGCATATGAGTTACAATACCAAGAGCATATTTAAGCACTCACATGTGAGTTGGTATGTGGGAAGTCCGACCTTCAATTTTGGCCCAACGTCCTAAATGTAATGCTGCACGATGCAGAACATCACAATATCTGGAATAAAATAAAAACTGTATTTTTAAATCTTCTTACACATTAACTACAAATGTGAACACAAGCATTAATAGTAACCAAAGCAGATAAACGTAACATAACGATAATGAGAGAGAATGATTATAATAATAAAATAGTGAATTTTATAAATGGTAATAATTTTAGAGAATTACCATGTGACATCATAAATATGACAAATATAATATAATAAAAAACACAAATCATACAAAGCAACATATACAATAGCAAAAACATAATAAGTTCTAACAACAAATTGGAGAGATATCCCAGGCTATAAATTACATAAAACCTAAACACGATATTAAATAATATGTTACAACTACCAAACACGTTTAACATACAAAATACAAACATGGTAGCCCAGTCACTAATTAAATTGAAATAAATGAAAACGCACAACTGTGTTAATTTCGTACTGAAAATATGTATATGAACATCCCAATACATGAAGTCTGAAACATAGTAAAAGCATCATTAATAAGAACAACATATCTAAAGACATGGAAAAAGATACAACAAAAAGTAACTCTATCCTTGCGAGATGCCCTGGAGGTTTGGAGGGAAGCTGCGAATATAGTGAATAAGCAGTATCAGACGGCCGACAAGGGGTGGTCCTCCAGCTGGGGGTTGGGCGTGGGGCTAACAACTCCTCCCATTAAAAAATATTTATGTTACGAAAATGAACACAAAGCCTCAGACCTGGATGGATCCTCTGGATAAACGCCCTAGACTAAGGAAAATGGACATGAGATTCAGTACCTGGAACGTCAGAAGTTTGTATAGGGCAGTTTCGCTCAAGGAAATCTTAAAATATAAGTTAGATTTTGTGAGAGTACAGGTGGTCAGATGGGATGGAGGTGGCATCAAACCACCAGGCAAATATACATTTTTTATGGAAAGAAATGAATTGGGTTTAGGATTTTTCGTACATAAGAGAATCATATCAGCAGTTAAGAGGGTAAGAGTTCATTAATGATAGGATATCATATATAATACTAAAAGGTCACTGCTGTGATATCATCATTGTGAATGTTCACGCCCCAACAGAAGATAAAATTTATGACATAAAGAACAGGTTCTATGAAGAACTAGAACATGTAATTGATAAATTGCCGAAGTACCCTATGAAAATATTGTTAGGGGATTTCAATGCCAAAGTAGGAAGGGAAGATATTTCCAAACCAACAATTGGGAATGAGAGTTTGCATGAAATTAGCAATGATAATGGAGTTAGAGTAGCAAACTTTGCCACATTGAAAAATATTGCTGTCAAAAGTACAAGGTTCCCACAACATAACATCCATAAATTTACCTGGATCTTCTGATGGGAAGATACACAATCAAATAGACCATATTTTGATAGACAGGAGACGGCACTCAAGTATACTTGATGTACAATCATTCAGGGCAGCAGATTGTGATACTGACCACTACCTGGCGGTGGCAAGGGTTAGGGAAATACTGGCAGTGAGCAAACAAACAACACACAGAGTTCATATGGAGAAGTTGAATCTCAAAAATTTAAATGAGGTAGAGGGTAAGAGCAGTATTGTGTTGAAATCTTAAATAGGTTCATGGCTTTGGAAAACTTGGACACTTGAGGTGGATGTTAATAAAGCTTGGGAAACTATTGGAGAAAATATAAAATTTCCGCCAAGGAGAGTCTAGGTTATCAATTCATGAAATGAAGAAGCATAAGCCATGATTCGATGATGGATGTTCAAAATTATTAGATCAAAGAAAGCAGGCCAAATTTCAATGGTTACAGGATCCAAGTGAGTTAAATGGGGATAATCTGAACAATATAAGACGCGAAACCAGCAGGCATTTCAGGAACAAAAAGAGGGAATATCTGAAAGACAAAATTGATGAGCTTGCAATGAACAGTAAGAACAAGAACATTAGAGACCTGTATAGAGGAATAAATGACTTCAAGAGGGATTACCAACCTAGCAGTAACTTAGTGAAGGATGAGAATGGTGATCTGCTTGCAGATTCCCACAACATTTTGAATAGGTGGAGGAACTACTTCTCTGTTACTGAATGTACATAGTGTCAGTGATGTTAGACAGAAATAAATACAGTGCAGCCATTAATACCTGATCCTAGCCCTTTTGAGGCTGAAAATATTGCAAAATTGAAACGGTATAAATCACCAGGTAGTGATCAAATTGTGGCAGAACTTATTCAAGCAGGACGCGAAATACTACATTCTAAGATCCACAAGCTTATTTGGCATAAGGAAAAATTGTATGATCAGTGGAAGGTGTCTATTATTGTACCAGTTCGTAAGAAGGGTGATAAAACTGACTGTAGTAACTATTGGGGGATATCACTGCTATCAACCTCATTTCAACCTAAATGATCAACTACAGATCAGATCTTTGGCATTAGACAGATATTAGAGAAAAAAATGGGAGTAAAATGAGACATTACATAAGCTATTCATAGAGACTTCAAGAAAGCCTATGATTGAGTTAGGAGGGAAGTACTGTACACTATTCTGATAGAGTCTGGGATACCCATGAAACTAATTAGGCTGTTATATTTTAGCGTCCTGTTGCACTGATTTAAGTTCATGATTTGTTTATTCCGTCTTGAACGACNATTCAACTTTGCTTCAGAACATACCATTAGAAAGGTCCAGGAAAACCAGGTGGGACAGAAATTAAACAGGACACATCAGCTGTTGGTCTATGCCGATGATGTGAATCTACTGGGTGATAATATAGATACCGTAAAGAAAAACACACAAACTTTAATTGACACAAGTAAGGAGGTTGGTCTAAAAGTAAACACAGACAAAACTACGTATACGTTCAATCTCGTCACCTAAATGCAGGGCAAAATCATGACATAAAAATTGGAAACAGATGTTTTGAAAATGTGGCACAGTTCAGATATTTTGGAACAACGATAACAAATCGAAACCTGATTCATGAGGAAATTAAGAGAAGATTGAACTCGGGTAATGCTTGCTACCATTCAGTCCACAATTTTATGTCCAAAAACATAAAAATTTGAATATACAAAACTATAATTTTGCCAGTGGTTCTGTATGGGTGTTAAACTTGGTCTCTGACACTAAGGGAAGAACAGAGACTGATGGTGTTTGAGCACAGGGTGTTGAGGAGACTATTTCGACCGAAGAGAGATGAAGTGACAGGAGGTTGGGGAAAACTGCATAATGAGTAGCTTCATAACGTGTAGTCTTCTACAAGTATAATTAGAATGATCAAGTCATGGAGGATGAGGTGGGCAGGGCATTTAGCATGAAATGGGGGAAACGACGAATGCATACAGGATATTGGTGGGAAAGCCAGAAGGAAAGAGACCACTGGGAAGAGCATGGCATAGGTGGGTGGACAATATTATAATGGATCTTAGAGAGATAGGATGGGATGGTATGAATTAGATTGATATGGCTCAGGATAGGGACCAGTGGAGAGGGCTCTTGTGAGATAGTAATGAATCTTCGGGTTCCATAAAATGTTGGGAAATTCTTAAGTAGCTGCAGAATTGGCAGCTCCTCCAGAAGGACTCAGCTCCATGAGCAAGTAACTCCATCATTGTAACAGGAGGTGAAGGCCAATAGGTTCTGAGACATCGAGGCTCCCACATCTGCTCTAGACAACTGGCGCACAGATGGAAGTGAGTTTGTCAGCCTTATGCTCTGGCCACCCTTTAGCCCCAGGAATATTCCTGATACTCAGTTCTATTAGAAGCTAAGTTGATGCCAGGGCTATAGTGCAGCTGGAAGGATTAGGTAAATTGAAAAAAATCCACCTCATCAGGACTCGAAGCCGCAACCTTCCAGCTTGTAGCACAGTGCCTCAACCAACTATGCTACCAAGTGCCCCCCTCCCCAAAAAAAATTTATATACCTCCTAAATGGTATAGGTCAAATGTTAAACGCTTACAAAAGACTTACATATATGAAGCCAGTAAGTAAGGGTATGAACAGCGGGGCATATTAGCAGCATATCCAACTTAGAAAATACTTATCAACTTCCCCCCCCCCACATATAGTAAACCCAGAGACCCATGCATCCCACCTTCTTTACCTCATAATCTCCACATACACTTCAATCTCCTTTCTTTCCCCATCCTCTTAACACACCTACAGCCAATGGGGGCATGCGGTAGGGTAGTTGGTTGAGGCACTATGTCACAAGCAGGAAGGTCATGGGTTCAAGTCCCGATGAGGTCACTGGATTTTTTCAATTGACCTAATCCTTCCAGCCGCACTATGGCCTTGGGGTCATCTCAGCCTCTAACAGAAATGAGTACCAGGAATATTCTTTGGGGTAAAGGGCAGTTGGCATGTAGGGCTGACAACCTTGACGCCATCTATGAACAAATTGTCTAGAAAATGTGGGAACCTCTCAACATCTCACAACCTTATGGGCCTCCATGGCCTGTTACAAGGATACGGGTAATTGGCATTACCCAATGCCAATGTATGTGGGGAAGTCATAAAATTTTAATTATCACCCAGAAGAAACAGAGACACAGGTGCAAGAAACTGTATGTGAGTCAGTCCTTCTCTACATATGCCCCCTGCAAGGCCACACATTTTCCCCAATGATGCATTAGCTGCTGGATACCTCCATCATAGAAGGTCTCATTTTGACTGTTTAGGAAGTCCTCCACTGCAGAAATGATGTCATCATAATCATCTTGGAATCACAACGGAGTGGCTTCTTTAGCCATGGAAAGAGGAAGAAGTCGCTCAGTGCCAGGTCTGGTGAATATGGAGGATGGGGGAGAATTTCATATCCCAAACTGACAGCAAATGTCATCATAGTAGCATGAGCCGGTGCATGAAGAAGTCGCACACCTTTCCCCAGCATTCCGCGTCACTTTTTCTTGATTTCTCCCATTATTTCCTCAGATGGTTCCGGTAGTATCTGCCAGTTATGGTGACGCCCTTTTGAGCATAGTTGGTCATGATGACACTCTGCTGATCCCAGAATACACTCAACTTCGCCTTTCCTGACGACAGCTAGGATTTGGCCTTCTTTGGTGGCAGCGAGACCACATGTTTCCACTGTTTGCTCATTTCCTTTGTTTCAGGGTGATCAGGCAGTCAAAAAATTACACCTTTTCAACTTCACACAACTGCAAAAATGTCTTTGCCACATCCATCCGTTGCTGTTTTTGAACTGGTGTCTACAATCGTGGCACCCAACACACAGCGAACTCTGTCACGTATAACTCATCATGGATGAAGTTGAAAACCAACCCATGGCTAATGCGGACCTCATGAACAATAGCTTCAATAGTTATGTGCCTATTGAATAGGATCAAAGTTTTCACCTGTGCCACAATTCCCGGTCTTCCACTTCGGGGTTCATCTTCGAGGTTTCTCTGTCCACAATGAAAGTGCCTCTTCCACCTGATCACTGTGTCATATGATGGTACACCTTCCTGATACACAGCGGTCATCTGGTAGTGGATCTCCCTGGCAGACTTCCCTTGCAAATGCAGGAACCGTATCACAGTGCAAGCCTCCACTTTCTGAACTGATGTCGCCATTTTGCTTCTGTCCCTTCTGGTGGCTCCCTCTTTCCACTTGGCACAGGAAAATTTGACTGTTCAGCAAGCTCAGGAAATCTCCTATATAGAACAATATTTTGGAATTATGATTTTCTCATGGTGATAATTAAAATATTATGACTTCGATCGTAGTGTTAGTGAGTGATAAACGAGACACAGTGTGCTACAGAAAAGGATAAAACTAAAACCTTNCCGAATGGCTCAGGTAACTGCAGCAGAAAGCTCTTCCAGAAAGGGAAGACGGCCTCGCACAGGTTGTTTCAACTTTGGGAATAAGTCGAAGTCTGGTGGACTCATGTCCGGGCTGCAGGGAGCAGGAGGCAACACCTCCCAACTGTATTGGCGCAGCTTTTCTGTTATGACATTCCCGATGTGCGGGCGAGTGTTATCATGGAGAATGATCGGCCCAGTCTCAAGCAACTGATGTCAGTTTTTGTGCATTTTTCTGTGTAGATTTTGCATAAAGACATGATAACAAACTGCTGACACTTTTCCTGCATGGAATTCTGTCTGTCATGATGATTCCTTGGTGATCATAAGCAAAGATCATCATTTGTTTGACCTTTGATTGAGATCGTCAAAATTTTTTTCATCTTGGGGAAGATGGACCTCTCCACTCGTTGGACTGTGATTTCAGCTCCGGTTCATCAATAGCTACAAGTTGATACAAGAATGCTTGACCTTCAACGTCGAACCTTTGTTTCAGCAAGGTTGCAACGTCGAGGCGTTTCTGCTTCTGTTCAGCAATCAAGCAGTGAGGGACCCATTGCACAGAAATCTTTAAACCATTTGTCAGATTTCGGAATACTGACATTAGTGGAATCCCCATGGTTTCAGAGAGTTCCTCACATGTCGCACGACGATCTTCTTCAAGAGCATCTCACACAAGTTTCACGCTTCGTTCATCTGTCGATGTTTTCGCCCTTCCTGGCCTTGGATCTGCGTTTATGCTCACACGACTGCACAAAAACGATTAGCCCAGCGAGAAACTGTACTATGGTCCACTGTTAACTCGCCACAGACTTCACTTGAAGCACTGTGGATTTCTGTCGGGTTTTTTCCACGTATAGTTTCGATCTTAATGTACGACCTTTGATCTTCAACAGTCACAATACCCGAGAACCAGGCAGGCTCCATTCCTAACTCACATTATTTAAGAACAGAGTACATTATAAATGAAACAAAATAATGCACTTCTTTCTCAAGCCCTGAACTGTAACTGACGTGAGGCTCACTGCTGTTGCATCATCTAATCCGCAGTGTTGCTAACATGTGCATTATTTATTAAATGACCCACACAATACAGTGCAAAAACAATGTACAGTTAGACTATATTATTACTAAACTGTTAAATTTGAAAATAGGAAATATTCAGACACTAAAATAACAAATGTAAAACTGAACTTATGAAGTTAAATTATGTTTCAGGAAGCAAGATAAGGTAAGCAACATAACAGTGACAGAAGACAAGAAAACAAGCCTAAGAGTGATTCAACTCATGATGAACACGATACAACACAGTAGCACATTCTTTCGCCAATTTAAAACAATATTGTAACGTGTTTTGCGTTACGTATCCCACTTCTGACACCAATGTAACGTGTTTGCGTTCCTGAAGACGCCGTAGAGATAGTTAATTGGTTTATTTAACAATCTACAAATAACGGCTACAATTGATTATCTCACAGTTGCGGGGTTTCACACTTTATAACCCTAATCGCATTAATCTGTTAACACTGTTGCGGGGTTTCACNCCTTGAAATAGCTCCTCAATTATCCTCAAAAGGCTGAGTGGACCCCATTCCAGACCCACTACTTCTCAGGAAATCAAACAATATTTAGACACACATCAAAAACTTAATTAACATAACTGAATATACCAATTGTAGGATGACTCCAATATAAGTTATTTTAACAACTCTTTATATAGAAGCAGAATTATTCTGTGCATAAAACGGTACAAATTATTCTATAAAATATTTTATAAATAATTTTATAATATACACGTCACTTGTAATATGGATCCATAACAGTAACAATACAATATTTTATGACTTTATATATTGTATCACCTGACGATGGCTCCTTGAGAGCCGGAACATGTTGCATAGCTGTACCCTATGTCAAATAAACTCTGCTGACTCAAATGTGGAAGTAAGTTATTTCTTTAAGTGCTGTTTTCACAGATATATAAACTAATAATATATAAGCATTATTATATTCACATTTTCTATGTGTACAGATATCCACCACACTTATGTGATCTAACTTACATGACTTTCACATTAACACAACTTCTTATGCATTCCTATTAATTTTACTTTTTCGTGAAGACTAAATAACAATGAAATTATTTGTCTGAAACAAAAAGTTAGGATTCATAAATGGCCAAAAGAGTATTACAGCCGAGTTAAGTACTTGCTGATGAAAACTGCAGGCAGTAAAAACAAAGGAATAGCAAATATCATTATCAGTATAACACCTAACTGAGTTAAGTATCTAGCAATGAAAATTACAGGCAGTAAAAACAAAGAAACAGCAAATATCTGCAGCATATGGGTTACACAACCATTCATAGCAATGCAAGTACACATAAACTGGGGGGCACCCATACAAGTATACAACAGTGTGCTTTACTCAAAATTTGAAATACACAAGCAAAATGGATATTATGATTAGAGTATAATGAAAATTTCATGTAAGAATGTAAAAAGTTAAGAAACTGAAACAAACTAGACAAAACCAAACTAAAACAAATGGCAATCTGTGGCATCTTATTCGATATTTGGAACTTCAAGACAAAGTAAAATATTTTAGTGTCTGGGTTGTAAAAAACATTCTTACATTCATCCACTCATTAAATAATTTGCTGCTATTCTTTAAGACAGATACAACATTTTTCATTGCTTCCATGAATAAAACCATTACAACAATCTTTAGTGGTTTTCTGATCACTGAACGCGACTGGGCAGCTGCAGTCTTCATTACCCAATAGCCTACACAGAGTCCCATTCTACATTAGACATATCTGGGAGCTGCTCAGTTCTCATCACAGCTGGCTAATACTTCTTGTGGTTTTCCTCAGTCCCTTCCAGCAAATGCCAGCTGCTTCTTTCCAGACCCTTTCCCATTCATAATCACAATATTCCTTCCATTTAACCATACAGACAAGAGACTGACAGCACCATTAAAAGAAATCACAATCTGCTTTCCCCCTTCTAATTTGGGTAACTCTTGTTCAACAACCATCTATATTACAAAATCCAATTTTCTGTCATTGATCAGGCAGTAGCTAGAACACCTCATATGTTTTATAATGCATAAATTGATCTATGTCCAACAGTTTCATGCATTTAATGCATAAAGTGATCTACTTTGCACTTGCAAGTCTGATCTCCATGTGACATCATGTCACATCCATTGGTGTTTACAGCCTTAATTGCAGTCATACATGTGGACAATTCAATGTTTGTTTTATGCAGTGCATCAACTTCCATGTGTCACTTATAAAGTTAAAGTGGCCTGTCACTGTTTACACTTTGTATAAAGTTTGGTAGAACAGTGTATGCAGAAAATTAATATAAAATTACATAGCTGGGAGTGTCATGTACGACTTTCTTAACAATCAAGTGGGTGTGGTGGTGCACATACTGTACCAAGAATAATCAGTGGCAGGAAAAATGCAATTTTTTCTCCTGATGTCATAGTCCCTTCTAGTATTACACTGTACAATTGTCTGTTGAAAGTCACATTACAATAAGTACCAGTTTCTGAACACACGTGCTGCACATCATGCCCATCACATCCTAGTTAACTGGATCCTCTAATATTTCACAAGGAGGGTACATTAAAAAGCTCCTCCTTATGCAATTCCCTCCATCCCTCTTAGATCTAAAATCTTCCTCAGCTGTTTGTCCCACAAAACCTTCTCAATCTCTGATCTTCCATTAGGGTAACAAATCAACTTTCATGTCCATATCTAAGAACATGTAAAGTTACAAATCTGTATATTTTAACCTTTCAACATCTAAATTATATGAATACACTTACTTGACTGGGTAACAATGCACGATATACATTGTGAAACACTCGACCCAAACACATACTAAGTGCTGCGTTGCCCAGTACACATCATAGTACAGGAAGCTCTGCATAGGAAGAAATACAAGAGGCATAAATTTTGAGATTTTCACAGCAGTGACTGTTCAGATCGTGGAACAGTGCAGTCTTGTAGGTGGGCGCTGACATTCTGGCTCCATCTTCAGGGTTGAAGTGTGTAGGGTAAGGAACTGGAAGTTATTTCATATTTTTCAAGGAAGGTGGTCAGAAATGAAACCTGCTAGCCATAATACTGTGACTTTCACAAAGGACGCCCCTTTCTCAAAATTTAATTTCCCTCCTGTGATGAAAACAACATTGTGGTCCCCAAACAGATGTTTTCTTACCTACCCATCCCAATGGCCTGGACCATGTTCCTTACCCCTTCCCTTCCAACCTGTCATGCTGAGTTAACCTTTAAGTGACGGCCCTTTAAATTCCGGTAACGGCAGCGGGATGGATTTGATTTAAATACCCGCAATTTTAAAGAAATAAAAACTGTAATCATTTCCTAAAATTGCTGTGATTTCTACAATTTTTGTGATAAACGAACCAAAAAAACGCTGTTTTTTTCTAGAAAGAATATAGAATCGACTTTATAAAATGTGTAAAAATTTTTAGACTGATTTCAAGTATAAAATTCCCAAATTTGTCGTCTGCCTACAAGAATTCATATAGTTCTTGGAAGCAAGAACGCTCTATGAAAATGTGGCAACACAGCGGATGGTTATGAAGATGATTGTTTAGTCTCGCATGTCTCGAAGCATATACATGTACCTTCTTTGGTATGCAGAGATGTGGGCCTGTATATCTCCGTTTATAAGAACGTTGATTGTTTATACACAACAATTTCTCTGTACTGACCAGGCTCGGTTAGTTTATCACAACTCTCAAGGCCAAGCACAGCCAAGCAGTGTCATAGAGCTTCAAAGTTTCGCAGCGAGAACAGTGATATTGTCAGCTCACCATGGCGTCGTTTCGTTTGGAAGATTCAGACATTTTTCAACTCATAAATAACTCCGAATCAGATTGTTTTACCGACAATTCTGAGAGTGGCATTGAGGAAAGTGATTCAGAAATGGATTTCAAGGAAGACCCATCATCTTGGTCGGCAAACTGGGGACCACCACACCAGCATGGCAAGAGGAGTGTGAATAATTATTCAGGTGGAGCTGTGGGCAAACTGTGGCAAACAGTTATAGCATCTGTCGTCGAACCTGGAAATGGACAAATAAACTATTTTTCCATCTCCTGGATCTGAACAGTTACATCCTGTTGTCACACAGAGAATTTCGTCTCGCTCTTGTGCGGAACATGCTGGAAGGGGTCCACCTCGCCATCAATGGCCCAGGGGTCGAATCCCTGCCGTCTTATCGGAGATATCTCGATTATAGGAGGCCAAACCACATCACTGGCCGACTTCCTCTACTTCGCAATTGAGGTGTCGTTTGTGCTTTTCGCGTGGGAAACGAAGAACCGTCTAGACAAAGTGCGTGAAGTGCGACGTCGGACCCTGGATTTCCAGATGTTTCCAAGATTTCCACACGAAGCCAACTTCCGTTAGACGACGCAGGTGGGAAGAGAGACAACTTATAAAGCTGGTGACCAAAAATCATGTAAGTAGAAAAAGAATTTATAACTTAAAATTAGATTTTAAAAAGCCGGCCGCACGCGTGGAATGTGTGACGACATATGGCATCATTCGTCCCCTTGACTTTATTTTCATGACGCCATATGGTTTCGCTCGGCTCTTAAAGGTCAAGGGTGGATAAATTTATAAACCCATGTGATATTTCATACTAATTATCATATAACTAAATAAGAATGTGTGTAGGTTTGTGTGTTAAAGACCTAACTCAGAAACCAAGGAACCTAGAAAGCTGACACTTGGCATACATTTTCAGCCTACTTGCCTTATTTTGAAAAAATAAAATGATGCTTATCAGATCACCTTGCTGTCTGTGTGTATCTGCCCAAACTCTACAGTTCTGAGTTGTCCTCTATCATTTCCACTGGGACTGCGGAGTAACTCCCATCCCAAAAGTTCCTCTGTATGTGTGTGTGTGTGTGTGTGTGTGGGCGAGTGCATATCCACTATTGTGGCTAGATAACAGGTTAGTGAACACATTCCTGGAGCAATACATATGCACGCAAAAATAGAAGAATTGTTGTACATATAATTTTCTATGAGGTCCATGTCATATCAAAGTAAAGTAGGTGATTATTTCTTCCCAGAACTTCTTGTTTTTACTTTTGCATCCCTTCTGTTAATGGGCTGCAATTAAGGAATTTAGATATAAGCAATTTCTGTGCAGAATGCAAGATGGTGATGATAATGAGCGTGTAAGCATGGGAACAAAACATGTTTATATACAGGTATACAGGTTGTTTCGAAAAGAGCTTTACAACTTTGAAAGCTTATAAAAATTTATACAGAGGACATACACAACGTTTGGAACTGTCATAACGTAGTAAAACACACAGTTTTACCTCAGACAGTTATGGTTTGACTTCCATTGGTAATGCAGCAGATGTCCCACCTGTAGTCAGTCTCTTGCCACACGCTACGTCACTTCTGCAACTGAGACAGTAATTCGAGTTCGGAGCTCAACGACATTTGCAGGAAAAGGTGGTATGAACAATCAATCTTTAACAAATCCCCATAAGAAAAAATTCAGGGGAGTAAGATCCAGGGAAAGAGGTGGCCATGCTATCGGCGCCGCTCTACCACTGGCACTGGCACACTTCTCCAAGGTAATGAGGGGGTGCGCCGTCTTGCTGAAAGTGAATGCATCCTTCTTGGTCATCTTCGTCTAACTGTGGAATGAGGAACTCTTGGAGCATGTCCAGATATACGATACTGGTAATGGTCGTCTCCATGAAGGGGCCATACACTCTTTCTTTGCCGAGGGCGCAAAACATGTTCACCTTTGGGCTATCACAAACATGTTCCAGGGAGACATGTGGATTTTTGCTGCCCCAGATCCTGCAGTTGTGGGTATTGACCTTACCACTGACAAGAAACGTGCTCTCATCACTGAAAATTATGGAGTCCAGAAACTTTTCATCATCTTGTATCTGATGAAACATTTGCATACAGAATTCCTTATGAACCACCTTATCTGCAGCTGTAAGGTGTTGAACGATGGATAGTTTGTATGCTTTTAAGTGTAAACGTTTTCGTAACACCTGCCACACAGTAACATTTGAAATACCAGTTTACCAAGATGCACGTTGCATTGGCTTTTGTGAACTTCGAATGAAGCTCTCCCTAATCTGTTCCACTGTAGCATCAGAAACACATGACCAACTAGGTGGCTTGGCTTGGGGCACAGAACATCCGGTCTGAACAAAATTTGTGCCAGGAGTAAATTCTAGGCCTACTGGGAGGTTCTTTGTGATACTGAGTGCGAAATTTCCTTTGAACTTGTGTAGCAGACTTCGTTTCTTTGAACCAGAACACACAACGAGCATGCTCTGCACCTGTGAAAGTAGCCTTCTTCATTTCAACTGCGGGAGCGCTTGCGGTGGCGGTATTGAGCACTAAAGTACCACAAGCATGAAACTTGGTGTGTTTTGCTACATTATGACAGTTCAAAACATTGTGTATGTCCTCTGTATAAATTTATATAAGCTTTCAAAGTTGTAAAGCCCTTTTTGAAACACCCTGAATATATATATATATATATTGTGATGTACTTGCGCTATGCTGGACACACCACCTCCAGCTGTGATTTAACAGCATTGGAGCCACTACCGCTGTTACAGTAACAGGCCAGTAGACACTCCGCCCCCCACAGTGACGTAACAGCACTTCCCACTGTGACATAATAGGGGGACACTGCTGTTAACACGAGGCAACAGGGAACATTATAGAAAGCCGGCTGAGCAGTATGTGTGATCAGGGGTGACACAGTGTGGATCGTGAAGTCGTCGAGAGCAGTGGAAGTATTTGTGACACTGCTGATGGCAGTAATTGTGTAATTTGTGAATTGTATAAGTGTACGAGCGAATGTGGAATAATTCGCTATATTCAATACGGCTTGAAGTTATTTGTCATGTTACATACCCAACACGTGACAATACATACATATATATATATATATATATTTTATATTTTAATTTTATTTCCACGATTATTTGGACTGTCATATATATACGACAGTCCAAATAATTGTGGAAATAAAATTAAACTCTACTCTGAAGAGAAATGATACATCACAATATCTCAGACTAAAAATAAAGACAATATCATGATCATTTTAGTAACTGTGGTACCCTTCAGTAGCAGGAATTGGATGCGGTATATGCAATGGCAAGTAATGGTAGCAATGGGAACTATGAAATTGTATGTGATGTTACATTATCATGAATTCAACCATTATTTATATGTAGTCACTTTGTATTTAAAAAATGAAGCTCTATTTGAACACAAATTATACAGAGTGTCCCAGGAGGAATGAACCAAACTTCAGGAGGGTGTTCCTTATGTTAAAGTATGCCGATATAACCCAAAACACCTATGTCCAAAGTTGAACAGTTAAGGAGATAATGGCCAGAGAAGTGTCAAACTTTGACCGGTGTTACACACTTGTTGATTACCAAATACATATTAAAACTGGCAGGAATATGTGGATTCTGTAATGTTAATAATGTACGTAACATCAAACTAACTTGTAAGTGACGTGAAGCCATAAAATTGAAGTATGAAATACTCGCTCGCCATGTCATAATTGTCCTTAGGGTTTCCAATCACTATACATGACATATGACTGGCGAGCGATGATGTAATATGGCTGCGCTATAAGCCGACCACATAACTGTATTATACGTACATTCACAGAAAATCTCTTTTGGAATTTCGTTTCCATTATCTCATGTGGATTATTATGGAACCACGTATGCACATTTCGTAAATTATTTACACCATCCAGGGTAAAAGACGCCTCATCACTGAATAAAATGACGCTTAAGATTTCGGGATGAGCTTTTTACAATGTGCTCTTGTGTGTCTATCATTCGTACATCCTCCCTTTCAGAGTGCACAGAGACACTTGCAAGAGAACCAGTATCACGCAATGTCTGGTGAATTCGCGTAAATACACTTCGAGATGGAATCCTTCGATCGGGAAAACACCTTTGGTATTCTTCAACAGCAGCACGTGCATTGCCACCGCAAAATCCACACACAAAATGCATATCACAATATTCCACATGTGAAAACACAAGAGGCATGTTTCAGCAACTCATCACACAACTAATTTACCACCCATTCACGACCCCGCCGCAACGTAATCTGTAGCCTCTGTAAGTAGTGCATGAGATTACGGCTAATGTGAATCACGACACTCAAGGACAAACAGATAAGAGTCTCAGCTGATAGGTACAGTGCGTGGACCCGCTAGAAGACCACACTTTTCTCGGCCATTATCTCCGTAACCGTTCAACTTTGGACATAGGTGTTTTGGGTTATATCGGCATACTTTAAAATAAGGAACACCCTCCCAAAGTTTGGTCCATTCCTCCTGGGACATCCTGTATATGCTTAAACAAAGTTACCATAAGCATAATAAAAACAAACTAACATGACCTAAAAAGGCACACAAAAATCTCAACCCGCGGTTCCCGTCACCATACTAATCTCTAACACAAAGAACATCATCACACATTAGTGGCTACAAAAACTCAGATGTACAATACTGACATTATTAGACATTTTAACCCGTTGCCGTGGTTCGTCGTGTATGTTTCGTCAGGGATTTAAATCGTCTGGGGGGGTTCGGCGTGTATGTTTCGTCCAGCTGCACACCTATGTTATAACGCCCATAATAATTGATGGTTTTGCTGTAGATTGTTAGATTTTTCGCTGGCCTGTTGTCACAAGAACAGAGTATACTAAGCCAACGAGTTTAGCTGAGATAAGTCATCGTTACATATGCCTGTCTTGCAGCAAATTCGTGTTGCTTCTTGTAGCGGTTTCGTCACTCAATGGCGTATTTGCTTTGCTTGTGAAGTAATAAACACCAGAGAGGTGATGTGTGCTGTTGTATATAATATCATATTGCCCTGAGCTGGCCACACAAACACATTCCATTGGAATTCTTAGAAGAGGGTTGTCCAAAATGTTATTCTCGTAAAATCGATTGCTTTCGCACAGTACATAGCACCCATTTCTTAGAAATACGCCACAATTTAAGGCAGAACACTGTGGTCACCCCCTGAGACGATACGGATGTGTGTGGGGGAGGGAAAAGTACTCATTATCGCTCCAGTTGACGCCATTTTATCGTACTGACCTTGGTGGTCGTTTCGAGAGCCAGCTCTGTGTTTAGACTAATGCTTCAAGGCGTCACCTGCTTACATAGCCGAGATACCGGGTGCTCATATTATAAGGCAAGGTTATAAAACCAACTTTTAAGATCATTTTAGTGAAAGTTTCATCCTTCAAGGCGTACCATTCTCTGCTCAAATACTAAATAACATGCTTCCATTGAAGATATAAAGGGGGTTCATATTATAAGGTAAGGTTATAAAACCACCTTTTAAGATCATTTTAGTGAAAGTTTCATGTTCCTATCTCATAGAATTTAAGAACAATGATGAATAAATAATTTTCGAGCAAAATTTAAATGGCCGGCTGAATATATTACCGCAGGAGCCGCGGCCGCGGAATTTAAATGACCACGTCAAAAGGTTAACTGTAATTTCAATTTTATAGTTTTAATTTTAATCTGTTACCTGTTCAATATCATTTTTATGTCAAGTTCTAACTTTAAATATCAAAGTGTATTATTAGGATAGTGTAACAATATGGACACAACCAGAATTCATTCTGAATAAATGATGCAACTCAGAAACTGACACCAAGTATGACCCAGGTAAGGACTGAAACATGTAGCGAAGTCATCAACTGTAAAATAAAGCAGATGTTGACATGACAGTGTCTATCTTGTTTATTTTCTGAACTTAATGTTGTACAGACTGTCCCAAATACCCTTTTAGTGAACTGCACACAACAGGATGCATACCATATAAAACTAATATATGATGGGAAGTCATAATGTTTTAATTATCACCATGAGAAAATCATAATTCCAAAATATCGTTCTATATAGATTTCCTGAGCTTGCTGAACAGTCAAATTTTCCTGTGGCAAGTGGACAGAGGGAGCCAGCAGAAGGGGCATAAGCAAAATGGCTACATCAGTTGAGAAAGTGGAGCCTCGTGCTGTGATACAATTACTGCATTTGCAAGGGAAGTCTGCCAGGGAGATCAACGACCAGATGACCACTGTGCATCAGGAAGGTGTACCATCTTATGACACAGTGGTCAGATGGAAGAGGTGCTTTCATTGTGGAGAGACAAATCTGGAAGGCAAACCTTGAAGTGGAAGACCATCTCTCGCTGAGGGACTGGGAATTGTGGCACAAGTGGAAAGCTTTGATCCTATCCGATAGGTGCATAACTATCGAAGCTACTGTTCATGAGGTCTACATTAGCCATGGGCCGGTTTTCAGTACCATCCATGATGAGATACACATGACAGAGGTCGCTGTGCATTGGGTGCCACAATTGTTGACCCCAGTTCAAAAATAGCAGCAACGGATGAATGTGGCAAAGACATTTTTGCAGTTGTGTCAAGATGAAAAGGTGGAATTTTTCAACCACCTGATCATGATGGATGGATGTTGAGTCTATCATTATGATCCTGAAACAAAGGAAATGAGTAAGCACTGGAAACATACAGACTTGCTGCCACCAAAAAGGCCAATTCCCAGCTGTCCTCAGGAAAGGTGATGTTGAGTGTTCTGGGATCAGCGGAATGTCATCATGACCGACTACACGCAAAATGGCATCACCAGCACTGGCAAGTACTACCGGAACCTTCTAAGAAAATTTGGAGAGGAAATCAAGAAAAAGCGACATGGAATGCTGGGAGGTGTGCAAATTCATGACAACCACCGGCTCATGCTGCTCATGTTACAAAGACACTTGCTGCTGGTTTGAGGTATGAAATTCTCCCCCATCCACCATATTCACCAGACTTGGTACTGAGCAACTTCTTCCTCTTTCCATAGCTAAAGAAGCCACTTCGTGGTGATTCCAAGATGATTATGATGACATCATTTCTGCAGTGGAGGACTTCCTAAACAGTCAAAATGAGACCTTCTATGATGGAGGTATCCAGCAGCTAATGCATCATTGGGGAAAATGTGTGGCCTTGCAGGGGGCATATGTAGAGAAGGACTGACTCACATACAGTTTCTTGCACCTGTGTCTCTGTTTCTTCTGGGTGATAACTAAAATTTTATGACTTAAATTAAAACAATATCAGCATCTTAGTGTGCTGTAATGTGACATGTCATTAGCGGTTTGGTTTGCTGGTTGGTTATAAAAATGAATTACTACAGACATAATAAAAAAAAACTAATATAGATTTCATGGGTATGCTATCACTATCTTGAACAATGTGCCTTCAATTGCACTTCTTCAGATGGGACACTAAAGAATTGTTCACATAAGATTACCATTTTAGAGTGCTGTCTTTCATCAAAAGAGAGGCCGCTAAGTTAATCATGGCAAGGCCAGGTTCTTGCAGTTAGTATAAACTAAATTTTGTGTAACAGAAGTACAGTATGAAAATTTTAACAGTGATTACCTGTGCGAAGCAGCATGGCACAAAACCAGCATAATAAGCATTCAAAACTGAACTGAAGAGAATCTGTTTCATTCGGTTATTAAAATCTGTTTTCAGGACTTCAACTTCTTCTCGAATTGCTTGTGGAGACATTGAACAATTATGCAACGGTTTCACTGAAACAAAAGGATTCATACAATAAACCAACACAGAAATTCAGAAATGAAAAACAGGTATACCTCAGTAATCCTTTGGTAGAACTCATTAATCATAACTGTGACATGATGCGTGAAAGCTGGTATAGAGGAGCCAGGGAAGATACCCATCAATGGGCAACAGTTCGGTGAACACATGACAATGGCAATGGACATGCATGCGTGCGCGCGCACACATACACACACAAACAGCAACAGTGAAACTGCTGGACATGGTATTTTCTATGCGGTCCATGCAGAAGCTATATATGAGGACCAACTTGATCAGGACTCCTAGCTGACTAACTGCAGTTCCAGAGTGGTAAAATAGGGCATAATCTGCTGCAGAAGCCTTCATTTACAGAAAACCTCTGTACATCTTGTATAAATGTTACTTAGTATAGTGCAGTGACAAAAAGTGTGCGGAGTCCATAGTGACCTGGACTCCATGACAGCGCGGATATACTCATGCTGAAACTACAGTGCAATAAATGTAGCAACTATACAGAAAGACCGACCATTTCTTTCACCAAAGAGGAGGCCCCAAAACATGTACATATCTAAGACAGAACAAAATCTTGGTCATGGATTTTGAGGAGACCTGAAGCCGGGAATGACTGTCCTGGTGAGGACCATCAGCAATTTAACCGGCTGACCGATAGGACTCTCAGCATTGTGACACAGGACTCAGAACCAAGAAGGACTTGGCTGGTAAGGATCAGCAGCAACTACCAGACAGCCAGAAAGAACTCTCAGAGCAGTAAGACAGGAAAATATAGTCATGAGTCCTGTGGGAATCAGAACCAAGAATGACTGTGCTGGCAACAACCAGCAGAAATTTACCTGACCAACAAACTGAGAGACAGGACATCCACAGAGCACAGCTGCACAACTCCCAGTGTCATGCAACAGAAAAATATGATCATGAATCCTGTGGGACTTGGAAGCAAGAATTACTGCACTCATGAGGGCAAGCAGCAATTTACCCAACCCAACCAAGGACTCCCAGGCAATGATGAGGCCTACAACCATTCTAGCGGCCAACTGTCATTTCAGAGTGGTAAAATAATTTAAGGCATAATCTGCTGCACAAGCCTGCATTGACAGATGTACTATGTATATCTTGCATAAATGTTATTCATTGCAGTAAAGTGACAAAGTGTATGTGGTGCCCATATGTGCAAATGCCCTTACCTAGACACCATGGTAGTGTAGGCACATTCATGCTAAATTAAAGTGCAGTAAATGTGCCACCTACTCATAAAGACAGACCACTCTTCTTCTCAAAGAGGAGACCCCAAAAAACGGTCTAGGAAGGAACAAAACTTTGATCACAGGTAATAAACAGGGACCAAAATCAAGAACAACTGCACTGGCTAGGGCCAACAGCAATTTACTGGACCAGAAGCAGAACCCCCTGGACACAGACAGTGGGGTGGGGGGGAGGGTTTGCCCATGCATCTGTGCACATGTGGGGGGGGGGGATTCACAAGGGCCAGTTAGCAAGTGAGTGCCTGCTCATGTCCCCCCAACAGTGGGGGTCACCAGCAGTAGTCAGACCCTTCCTCTTGTTGAAGAGAATGCCCCATTTCAAAATACAAGTCTTTGAAAGAACAAAAATATGGTCATGGATCCCACTAGGACCCCAACACCAAGACTGACTGTGCTGGTGAGAGCCAGCAGCAATTTACTCAACTGCCATGACTCCCAGAGTCATGAGACAGAAAAATACAGTCATGAGTGCCGCATGACCCTGAACCAAGAATGGCTGTGCTGGCAAGGGTCAGTAATAAATGGTGGTTATCCATTAGCAGCAATCATGGAAGTGGAGGAATCTCCATTGTTAGAAACTGCTACCCAAGGAATGACAAGTGAATATATGGCAGATTGTGAAGATTGTGTATGCTGTAGTTACTTGCAGAGTGCGCATACTAGTGAGAGTGTTGTAATTATTTGTAGTTATGAATCATAAGCATACAACAAACTCCCATCTAAACCCCATGCCTAGTCACTAACATATTACAATTACAGCTCGAATGCATGATAAATTGGCTGACAATAACTTTGTGTTGAAACTTGCCTCTAGAACACTGCAACTATGTAGACAGGATATCTAATGTTTAGTACTGCTTGCTAGTCATGGGTAAGTAACAAGCGACTGTGAATGCAACACTACTGCCAAAACCTAAACAACCAATCAACCAATTAACAACTCCTTCTTTCATCCATCTAAAAAATCATCCATCCAACCAATCAACCAACAAGAACTCCAGTCAAGAAACCAAGCAACCATCCAACCAAACAGCCAGCCAGCCAGGCATCCACCCAACTAATCAAACAACCAAGCAGCCAGCCATCTATCAACCCAACCGCTTAACAAGAAACAAACCAGTCATCCAACAATCAAATGAACTTTCTCTATAATAGAGTTCTGTGCATGACAGCTACAGTAAAAGATTCTAATCTTGAGAGCTGTGAGGAAGGCAGGAAGTCCAAGCTATTAAAGGCGTGGCAGCAGCATGAATCAGAAACTACTACCTGAGCCAAAACATTAAGTACATACTCCATGGTGGCTGTGCAAGCTCCATACCACTGTCTTCATCAGGCAAAATATTATCATCTACTGAAATGACGTTTTGCAATGTTGAGATCAACGACATTTACTTTAGTTCAGTTCATCTGAGCACTAACCAAGTATGCTCATGGCCAGCATGTTCTAATCTCATGCTATACACAGTAGATATATCTGTTTCCACCCCTTCCCCCTTGCCCCACTTCCTCACCCTGCAAGTGTCAAGATTAGAGTCTGAGACAGTGCTGAAATCATCAGTAAATCATTTTTCTATGCCAGCAACATGCTAATGAAAGCCCACATCAGACCCCAACCAGGGCCAATTTAGATAAAATCTTCAAATTCTGTTCATCTGACATCAGTGTCCTTCATGCATGATACACTGTAGGAAACATATGATTCTAATCAAAATTTACTTACAAGTGACAGTTCTCCCTTTGCATTCCTCTTTCAAAAGTGGAGGCAGGGACATCACATCAAAGAATGGACTGATACTCAAACCAAATAATATAAAGTAGACAGATATTCTGCGGAAAAGAGTTATTGTTAATAAATATGGAATTAGCAAAGCATATTAAGTACAGATACATCATGTTATCACTGAAAGATGATAGGTTTTCTTTCTAAAGCCTCCAGTTATGGTTTTTGCATTTTCTGGCCTCTGTCCACATTGCAAAAGCGAAGAGCTCAGAATGCTGATGCTATGATGAACATTCTGTATAATTCACATTCAAAGATGCAAGTAAAGGAGAAAATATATCAGAAAATTCATACTAATTCTCACTCTTCTGAATTTATCCACAGACCAGCAGGTCTCCATCCATATGGAAGGTAGCTACAAATATTGTCAATACTATCCCATCAAAATCTGTCAACAAGTGCATTTAGTAACTGCATGAAAATTCCTGTTGCTTACAGGAGGCTTCAAAGCACACTACACTTAAAATATCTGCATCCAAAAGCAGCACAAAAGTAATTAATTACATAATAAACTGTTTGCCCATTCCAAAAGCTGCCTGGAGCTTCCTGGCTTTCTTTGACTGGGGCCTATTTCAAGGTACTATTTCAGTATATGCTTCAACAGACAGAGGAAGATCCCAGTTAGGATGCCTAACACGTCTTCCAAGAATTAAACATGTTACCTCGCAAATATAAGTTGTGCACGGCGTCTGAAATAACCTGATCTGTGAGTTCTGTTGCTGCTACATTTTGCTATATTCTACCAAGAAGGCTGGGGTAATGGTAATGCTCCAGACTTGTATTTTGGTGGTGCTGAGCCCAAATTTTGGCCAGGACACCAGCTATCATAACCAAGGTTTCTCATGGTTTCCTCCACCCCTTGAGAAAATTACCTCAATGAGGCCATCACAGCTTCCTTCCTAATCTTTCCAATTCCTCATTCACGAATCATCCTACCATCCTCTATGTCAGTGATTCTCAACCTTTGTCAGACCATGGCCCAGTAAATTCTTTTTTCTGTAAGATGAAGGCCCAGTACTGGTCCGCGGCCTGGCAGCTGAGTAACACTGCTCTATGTAACATAACACATGTAGCATGGGAAGGGTTAATTACACTTTGTTACAAAGTACACATTTTATGCTATTTTATAAATCTATATTTACACATGAAAAAATTACTACCTATTCCAGTAACATAACTATCATTCTCATATACAAGTAAAACATGATACTATGTAATACTTACGGATAACACAGATAAAATATATTTACAATCGGATGATTCTGCATGATATGGTAAGTGCACCATACCAAAGAAGCAAGGACAAGCCCCAACAGCAACAACCTAAAATTGAAAAAAAAAATAATTAAATATGAAGCAACTAAGTATGCCAAAGGGCTTTGACAAGACACAAAGAGAGGCCGAAATTACACAGCAAGTATCAGTAAACTCAACAGACACATAACAGTTTCAATTTTATGATTTTTTTATAATTCTATTAAATCTTCAAAGTAATGAGCAAACAGAAACTTTAATAAGATCTAAAAGTCTATGTGGATGGTCTATTAATACAATCATTGTGTTTCTGGACATTATCCATCAGCCTGTTTTTATTTATACTGAAACCTCCAGATCACAGTCATCGTTCTTCTAAGACAAATTTATGTGCCACCACAGCCCTGCTAAGAGATAGGCTCCAGCTCCACTGTTTCAAAAATGCCACATTGATCAAATAAATCAACAATCTGGAAACACGTGGAAATGCTCTGGTGCTCTATTATGCCATTGCTAGGGAACAGGTTAAGAGATTTTTTCTTATTTCAAATGTCTCTGTAGGCAACATAACACTCATTGCCCATGAGCTACAGGTTGGGCAAGCTTATTCTAGAAGATTGAAAAGAAATGTTGCACACTGTCTTCTGGACAAATCTTCTGAACAAACTGCAGTTGTAGATATGCAAATGCACACATCTACATAAAACTGAGTACACTGTTTATCTGATTACTTGTAACTGTCAGCCACTGTGCCTTCTGGCTTCCTTAGCTTGTGTAAGAAGAACTGTCTTTCTTAATTAATTTCTTAAAAGTCCCTGAGTGACCAGACTTCTCTGTGAGCGAAGCATAATCAGACATTCATCTCAGTGCTTCTTGCACAATGACAACAGACTGAAACAGCTAGCCACAGCATGCAATGTACTTTAACTTGCAGGGTCTCCACTATAATGAGATGGCCAATCATGTACACTATTTTGGTGTGCTACTGCACAAACACAGGTACATGGTAAGACACAGAAAAAACTAGACTGTGCCTGTATCTCTTTTTATTTACAAAGTTGAGAAAATCAATTAGGATCTCCTTCAAAATAGTTCCCTTCTGAGCTGACACACAACTACATATGGGGCTGCCAACGTTCAAAGCAATTCTGCAGATCACTTTCTGAAAGGTTGTTGAGGAACCTCATCATTTTTGCTTTCACATCTTCTACTGACAAAGAATGGGTTCATTTGTGCACCAACTTGATTTTTGGGATGAGGCAGAAGTCACAGGGAGCCAGGTCTGGTGAACAGGTGGGTGCTCAAGCACAGTGATGTTGTGATTAGCTAAACACTGCTTCCCAGAGAAAGCGTTGTGCCCTGGCATTTTGCCTTGGTGCAAAATCCAACCTTTCTCCATAATTCTGGTCATTCCTTCTCATGTGTTAGCGCAATTATGTCAAGACTTCAAGGTAACATGGCTGATTTACTGTCTGGCCGCTGGGAACCCACTCTGCCAATACAATACCTTGGATATCGAAGAAAACAATCAACATGGCCTTGAACTTCAAACAACTCTTGTGTGCTCTTTTTGGTCTTGGAGATATTGCTGACTTCCACTGCACTGACTGTCGCTGGGTTTCCTCAGTCAATAACTGAAAAGTTTCCATTGCAGGTTTCTTCAGTTTCACAAGCAACTCGCCATTCACGCTTGCACTCCAACATTTTCCGACCTAGGGTATGAAAATGTCTATATCTGAACACACGTCCACTCTTACTGAGTAAATCTATGGAGTTGAGCTTTGTCTCACAGCGACAGGTTAGAACATGCTCCATAACCATCTCTTTGCCTCCCCCTCCCTCCCACTCTTGTTTCCCAAGCTATGGAGTTAGTGTCATTTTTCTTGTGCCTGACAACATACACAGGAATACACTATTTAGACTTTGGCACAAATATTCTAAGTTAATCTCATATTTAAATGACTTCCTGTTTCAGTACACACAATGATTAAGAAAATACAGCCCAAATGATGAGCTTCTCTCCAAGTGCTATTCACATACACATTGTAACAAGCTTCTTTAACAGGGGAGCAGATTTTAGCAAATCATTAAAACTATTTCACCTGAGGAGCTGCTCCAGAATTGGCAACAATGATACAGGGCTCCACCTCTTTAAAATCTGGGACAAACCACAATACACCAACCGCCGACCCAAAATAGTTGCAATGAAGCCAACCACATATGGATCAATCAGGTAAAAGTTCTGTCAGAAAAGAAAAAAACAAGTGTCAGACATAAGATCTGGGGTTTTCACTGTAGTGCTGTGGTCTTCTGGCCTATGATGCTAGGTAACCTGAAAATGGATGCAGCATGTTCTCCAAAGTGTTGGTACCCACCTACCAGACTCTGAAGTGTTATAACCCAGAAGACCACAATATAAATTAAATTATCAGTTTCTTACTTCATCATCCTTTAGCTAGTAAACAAACTAAAGAACAGGGATAAATTTCCTTTCATACTTAAATACACCCTGCAACAACAGTGAAAAGGTGTACTTCAATTCTGAGTGTTCATTTATTATATACATAAAAATCCACACAAACAACATTAAAACATCACACTCCAGACAATAAAATTATTTTTCCTTGTGTTTCATTAAATAATCACCACATTAAAACACTTTTAAAATAAAAGCTACATCTTTATGTGACACATACTTTATGCTACATTCCAATTATCACTAAGCCATTCTTCACAACACTGAAAAGGTTCAAATTTAGCTCTACAAAAATCAGGGATTATTTCAATTAGCTCAATATTAACTACAATTAAATTCACCTTACAATTTTTTGTGTGGATCCAAACTATCATATTTCATCAAACCCTTTAGTAATTCTGAACTAAAATATGTGAAGACAGATTAATAGAATCTCCTTTTCATAAAAATAATGCATAAACAACACAGCATAGTACATTAACATTTTCTACAATTTTTTTTCCAGACTTAGCACACCTGAAGGCACTCCTATGAGGACACTCTTTTAACTTCACTGAATCTTGACGTTATCTGGTCAGATAAATTACAGCATTTCTTTAAGACACCATGGTTTAAATGCATACAATATCTGACTCCACAGCAAACATGCCTCTGATGCCTCTGATTTTAGTAGCCTTGGGAGAATATACTGCCCCAGGTAGCAACTTCATGAAGCAGCAGTGATCAAGATGGCATTCTCAATAGAGCAGCATAAGATTTTACTGAAAATATTTTACCCAAACAACTAGTGTTATCACAATTCAGTATGAATTCTGAGTGAAATCTGAGTGCAAGAAAGCACCAAGGGGGTCATAAGTAAGAAGTCTGACAATGCAGTGGAAAACATTCACCATGTTGAGCAGGCACTGATGAAAAGCCCCAGGAAATCTGTAAAACATCTTTCTTAACAATCCAACTTGGAAGCATAATCAACATACAGGATAATTCAAGAAGATACAAAAGTATTTCAATACAAAATTCAAATTCAGCAAGCCCTTCATGAAGCCAATAAAGACATGAACAACTGATATCTGTGGCAACTAAGATGCTTTTGGAGGACAATCCAGCAATAACCTGATGGATATGGCTTACTAACAGGCCCATTTTCATTTGAATGTCTACATGAACAAACAGAATATGCATGTGTGAGCCAGTAAGCTCACCCACAACATAATGGAGTCAGTTACAGAGAGAACGCATGGGGTGGTGTACTCTGTCAACCAGTGGTATTTGTGGGCCAATTTCTTTCAATGATACTGTGAGTTTGATCATTATCTCCAAGTCCTCCAAGAAGAATTTCTTCCATTTCTCCAAGGAATTGGTGTCAATTTTGGAGAAGCATTTCTTGCAACAGGATTGGAGCTTGGCAACACTGTAAATGCGGTGTTATAAGTGCTCAGTACACATTTTGTTGGCTCTTTTCCTGAACAGCTCACATACAGGTGGTTCTAGCCATTATCCTCTCCTTTTCTTATCCCATGTTATTATTTCTTAAAGGCTTTCTGAAATAGAGCTTACAAGAATAATCTGCATTATCACCAAAAAACTGCAGCTAAAAGTTTCAGAAGGAGTGACTGATATTAATGATGAAACTCTAGCTGCAGATGTGTGAAATTTCCAGTGTCAACTGCAGACAGCCATGGATGCAGATGTTGCACATACTGAAAATGTGTATAAGAAATTGTCTCCCAAGACTACTGAGCACAAACACCAAATACAGTGGCACAAGGTTTGAAGTTCTCACAGCTGTGGTAATGAAGAGGTATACCATGAGTCCATTTTGTGCTGGTTTCTTGCTTGGAGGCAGTATGTTCCTCCAAAACATCAGCCAACTTTCAATGCACTACATTCAATTATATGCCAGAAAATATAACTTTTCAAATACAGTGATGGTTGCTTTGTAGTTACATAATTATATACAAATCTGAAGCATCTCTTCAGGGACCCTGTAAATGATCTTCAATACTGCAACAGCATAGAGTCTGCTGAGTTTTCAATAGGAAATTGTTATGGTTATCAACTTTCTTAATGAACTTGGAACAGAGAATCTGTTGGGAAAACAATTTTTGTGCATATGCAACATTTCTAACCTACAAATATAAATTTGATAAAAATATCAAATTTTCAGTTACTTCTGGAAAGATAGCCGTATTTTTGCATGAAGACACTGAACTTGATAGAATAACAATATGCAGTAACCAGTGCTGCCATCTATATACAGTGCCTTTTGGTTTTTTAGCTCTTGGGGGGGGGGAGATGGACACTGCAATACTGACTTTCCCACTGCTGTTTATTGTTGCCATCATTGTCTTCTATTTATAACTACATAATTCTGATGACTGCTAACATACATAATCAGAGGACAGCAAGCACTTGCCTTTCATACATAATGATTCTAATATACTAAGAGCAGCGGGGACATTTAATTTTACAAAGTTCTGCTATGGTAGTTGTACCAAAGGATTGAAATTTGAACTTGTGATCTCAATCTCATTCACTCAATAGTCTTCAGTTAACCATAATTTTAAGAACACTGTTCTATTTTCAGAAGCATATAAGTGAGCTAGGTACACATCTATATTCCAGACATGAGTTCCAAAAAATCAGCCAACTAATGTCCTTACTATTGATGTAAAATCTACTTCACTCATTCACTATTTCCATCTCTAATGCAACCCAACATCATTCACAATCTCTCCGTTATTTTAAAATACCATTAAAATCACATTCAACTGCAACATGTTCTGGCCTTACAAGGCGATCTTCAGACAGCTGTTCACAAAGTGAACTGCCACACTGCACCATTTTGTATGCCAATGCATCCCATGCTATTGCATAATGCTGTTTGCACTAAAATGTGTCTGAAATTTCCATGAGGATGGAGATTCATATTTCCTTACTATGATACTGTGTAGTTCAGCAAGAAGACCTCAATATTCAACACTTATGTCTTCATTTAAGTCTCTTGTCACCACAGCATGGTGTGTCCTCAAGTTGCAAATGGAGGAGATGCCCTCCAGGTATAGGGGTTAGCTGCAAATATAATGAATAAGCAGTTGCAGACTGCCAATAAGGGGTGGTACTCCAACTTGGGGGTTGGGCGTAGGAAAACAACTCCTCACAGCAGAAAATAAGCTTGTTACAAACATTTGCAAGAAACCTCGGACCTGGACAGATTCTTTGGATAAACGACCTAAGCGGAAGAAAATGGATATGAGATTTGGCACTTGGAATGTTAGAAGTATGTATAGCACCGTTCACTCAGGGTAGTGGTGGAAGAAATCTTAAAATATAAGTTAGATTTAATGGGAGTACAGGAGGTCAGATGGGCTGGAGGTGGCACTAAACCAGAAGGCGAATATACATTGTTCTATGGAAAGGGGAATGGAAATCATGAATTAGGTACAGGTTTTTTCGTACATAAGAGAATCGTATCAGCAGTTAAGAGGGTAGAGTTCATTAGTGACAGGATGTCATACATAATAACAAGAGGTTGCTGGTGTGATGATATCATTCCGAATGTTAATGCCCCAAGGAAGATAAAATTGATGATATAAAGGACAGGTTCTATGAAGAACTTGAGTTAGAGTAGTAAACTTTGCAACATCAAAAAATCGTATTCAAAAGTACGATGTTCCCACATCATAACATTCATAAATTTACTAGGACATCTCCTGATGGGAAGACGCACAATCAAATTGACCATATTTTGATAGATATGAGATGGCATTCAAGTATACTTGATATCCGATCATTCAGGGCAGCAGATTGTGATACTGACCACTACCTGGTGGTGGCAAAGGTTAGGTAAAGACAGGCAATGAGCAAACAAACAAAGCACAGAATTCATATGGTGAGGTTCAATCTCAAAAAATTAAATGAGGCAGAGGGTGATGAGCAGTATCGTGCTGAAATCTCAAATAGGTTCATGGCTTTGGAAAACTTAAGACACTGAAGTTGATCTTAATAAAGCTTCGGAAACTATTAGAGAGAATATCATAATTTCTGTCAAAGAGATTACAGGTTATTATGAATTGAAGAAGCATAAGCCATGGTTCGATAAAGGATGCTCAAAATCACTAGACCAAAGAAAACAAGCCAAACTGCAATGGTTACAGGATCCGGGCAAAATAAATGTGGACAATCTGAACAATGTAAGATGTGAAACCCGCAAACATTTCAGGAACAAGAAGAGGGAATATCTAAAAGACAAAATTGATGAGCTTGCAATGAACAGTAAAAACAAGAACACTGGAGACCTGCATAGAGGAATACCCGCTCGTTGGTGTCTCCACTTTATTGTTGTGAGGGGGTCTGAGTATGCCAAGGACCCTGAGAGCTATACCAGCAGTAGCATAGCTACTGGCAGGGCTTCCCTTGCTGGACAGGTCAAAGGGTAGGCATCAGACGAAGAGACGCACCAAAAACCAAAAACTGATGCCGGAAGCAGCGTCATCAGCAGCGACTTGAAGCACAGAGCAAATGATGCTCGAGGTGGTTCAAGTTCGTATAGCAACAGGCGTGACCAGAGTGGTTTGAACACCTGTTGCACTGCAATGTGGAAAGCAAATGAAAAAACTACCATATTATCACTTTTCCTGGATAGTCTCTTTCCAAAAATAGAGATACCATGTATGTCCTCTGGAGACAAAACAAACCAGAGGGGCAGATAGAAGTGCCAAGAAGACGAGGAAGAAGACAGAAGAAGATATTTTAATTGAAGGAGA